TTTTTGCCAGCTTCCTCACCTAGAGAATCGGAGTAATCACAGCCCCTAGAATATAAAGTTGTGCATGTAAAGCAAGTAGCACCTAACAATAAATCATAGATATGAAATGTTTACTAAATGCCAGGCACTCTTATAAGTACTTGCGTTATCTTGTATACTTTTCATAACACTTGATGACTTAGGTACTGTTATTCCCATTTTACAGATGAGGAAAGGGAATCAGAGAAGTGGAGTCAGGCAGTCTGGCTCTGGCTTTTCCACTCATACCACTGCCTCTGGTTTCCTGATACACAGGAAGCATCTCATTACTGGTGGCTGATAAGAATCACAGATACTCAGTTTTACTGAGTTATAAGCTAATGGCCTTACCAGGAGCAGTATATTCAGACTGGGCCCTCTGTGCAGCTCTTCCCTGTGGTGTATGTTCAGGGATAGCATTGGCTACCTATTTTTCCTTTCTAATATCAACTAAAAAACTGTAGGCAAGAAAGCTAACAGTTTATCTTTTATTTATTGGTTATTCCTTAAGATTAAGAGAAAGCAAATTTAGCATTGAGTAGGTTAGAGGCCTAACGTATTGGCGATTTCCCTCTAACAAACAGTTCTGAAGATAGAAGTACAGCAGATACGTAACTGTAGATTTTGGAAACAGCTTTATGTTCAAATGCCTTGTTCTTTATTTCCGACAGTGTTGCATTTGAGGTCAGGATTATCTCAGCTTTGGTGTTTTCTTCTTAGTAGAAGTTACTGTCATCAGTTCACCCTCTTCTGAAGCTCTGCTTTTGGTACCTACAAACCTAATTTCAAACTTCATCAAAAGTGGTACATAAGGAGGTTTTGATGTGGATTAAACAAAGTAAAAGGCCAGTTATGTACGTAGTTTAATTCTAACCATAAAAAGCTAAAATCTGGGAACTTAAGGGTACATAATATTATGACAATAAGCCACCTCTTCAGGTACTGATGCTCTTTGTCAGTCATTTTTTAACTGGGTGATTTAGTGATAGTGGTCCCACTTTTGCCTAGTTTAAAACCTTTGGTATCTGAAAACTTTGTAAGTACAGTGGCTGAATACAGTGGCTCATGCCTATAATCTCAGTGCTTTAGGAGGTAGAAGGAAGAGAATTGCTCAAGCCCAAGAGTTTGAGACTAGCCTGGGCAACATGGGAAAACCCCATTTCTACAAAAAATGTAAGCCAGGTGTGGTAGCATGGGCCTGTAGTCCCAGCTGCTCAGGAGGCTGAGGTGGAAGGATTTCTTGAGGCTAAGAGTTCAAGACCAACCTGGGCAACACAGAGAGACCCCATTCTTTAAATTAGCCAGGCATAGTGGCATGGAACTTATACCTAGCTACTTAGGAGGCTGGGTTGGGAGGATTGCTTGAGTTTAGTAATTTGAGGCTGCAGAGAGCTACGATTGAGCCACTGCACTCCAACTAACCTGGGTGACAGAGTGAGACCATGTCTCAAAAAAAAAAAAAAATTAGCACAAAATTATCAAGTGATACTTACCAGATTAACCAAGATACTAAGAATTTAAAAGTTTAATTTCTTGTTATTCCTTGAAATTACAGTGCTTTGAGAATGAAGATAAACAGTATATCAAAGTACACAGGAATGAATATAGTCTTTGGGTTCAACAGACCTGGGTTCAAACCTCAGCTCTGCCACTGAACTGTGTCTTTTTGGACAAGTTACCTCAGTTTCCTTATGTGTACTGTGAGAATAGCCATGTTCCCTTCATCTGCTTTTTACAGAGATAAATGTGTGAAAAACTTTTAGCATAGTGCCTGGTAACCAGTAAGGGCTTAATAAATGGTGGTTTTCCTCTCACTCTACCAACTTTATCATTTTCTTGATTTTGTTATACCATAATAATCTCCCATTTAATCTGTAGTCAGTGAAAACCTCTTCACTTTGTTTCCAGCCCTTTTTCATTTATGCTTCTCCTCCCACCACTACCACATCAGTGACATTTATGCTCACCTGAGTCATCAAACCCATCCATTTAATGGCACTTGCTTCTTTACCACATGCTTACACTGCTCTTATTCTCCCTTGTGTTCATCTCTTCACCAACACAAATGTCCTTGAGCAGAGACTATCTCCCTAATATCTGGCTGAGAACTAGGGTGGTGAGAAAAGGCTCCATCCGGGGGTTTCCCATTCTGAGTCATAGCACTTTTTAATCTAGGGTCTGCAGCCAGCTTTTTCTGCCATTCTTAACTTTTTTCAGCTGCAAGATAGGTATGAAAAGAGTACCCATTTCTTGGAGTACATGTTAATACATGTAAATTACCCAGAAAGTGCCTGCCCTGGTTAGTGCTGCTAATATTCTCTGCAATCATCAAGGAAACTCAGACATTTAGGTGGAGAAAACATGTTTTGGATGAATGTCTTCTTAAAACACACAGGGCCTTTTCAGATAAAAAACTGAGTAGATCAGGCCTCTGATGCTGTCCTAACTGCTTGGCCTTTTACTAGTTAACATTGATTTTATAATCATCTGGCTCATGTTGAGAGAATGTTAATAGAAAAATTATGAGAAGAGAGTGATTAGAATAATTAGTCATAGCCTTATATTTCATCTCAGTATAAAGAAAAAAGATTTATGACTTCTCAGTTATTTATTTTGATTGCCAGAGCAAATGCTGTATTATCTGGATAGCTGACAGTGGTCAGTACAGCATGCATCTGTATGTGTATCCGCCTGTCTGGTACTTTGTGACGTTATTGGTGGTGCCTGGAAACCCAGAGGGTGTGCTTAGGCTTCCTTGGATAAAGATGCAAATTGGAGAGACTCGTGAGTCATATATGATTATCATACTGAGCTCTGCTGGATTTTTGCTGCTTTTAGCAGTAGTGGTAGCAGTCATACTGATTTCTGGGCACGTGTGTGTGACATTAGCTTGGATATTATAGGGGAGCACTTTGCAAGAAAAAAAACAATAAGCCTTGCAAGAAAAAAACAATAAGCCATTAACCTGAAGGCATTTCTTTCCATGATTTGAGCGGGGGCTATGGCCGTTAAAATGCTGTGGTTTTTACCTTACAGAGTAAAACAGCTCTAAAGCTGACATGATTTTTCTTAATTTGAACTACAGTCCATGTTCTTAATCTTAATCAATTACTATGCTAAACACTGTAAGTTCTTGGGAATCTGAAATTCTAAACTATCATATAAATGTTGCCTTCAACCTATGACTCTACTAAATATGTCACACTGCCCTGGAAAACAGTGTTGTATCTGTCATTACTAAGTAATGAAAGTGCTGTAGTCTATATACGAAAGAGATTCTGTGGTAAGGTTGTGTCCCGTCTCACCCATTTTACCCCTTGTTTGAATGAGTTTATTCTTGGGCTAATCCTTTAGAGACTCTCTAGCTTTGTACATAGTAACCCTTTTCTCAACTTGAGATCATTTTCATTGCCACTGATCATGACTGTAGAATTTGCTTACTTCTAAACATTTTAAGTGAAGTGATCAGATAATTTTGGAAATTTTTCTTGAACTGTGCATTCTGCTAAATATTCTGGAGAAACATTTTGGCTCTGCTTACTCTGTTAATGCTGGTTACATCATGGGAGCTATAGATTTCTTGGGCATGCAGAATGATTGCATATTCATGAACATCTTCAATTCTGAAATATTTGTAAATAACTTGGCAATTTTTTTTCATAAGGTTGCCTATTAAAATGATTAGGACTTTAATTGTTCACACAGAAAGAATTTGTGCTTACAGAACACCACCTATTTGATAAGTAATATTTCTATGCTAAGCAACTTGGATTATGAACATACAAGTCACCTTCCTTAAACAAAGTATAAGAGATGCTATTTTCCACTTAAGAATGATTCAAGTTTGAAAATGTCAATAGATGCAAAAAGCCACCCTAGAGCTTTGCTCTCTCAAAAGAAAGAAGAGAAGGAATGACATAGTCAATGTTAACTGTCACCAGATGAAGAGAAATCAGATTGTCAGGCCTGGATCTATAAAATTCTTGCCAAAGTAGGACCTCATTTACACATACAGATCTTCATACCCTTTGCTAAGAAAAGCATCTGTGGCAGTTTAGATGTTTGTGCGTTTGCCAAAGATCTTTCACTCTGAATAAAGTAAATGTCATGTCTGTTGTTTATCTCAAATTCAGCAGAGTATTTTTAAAAGGAAATATTTGTGGGGGAGGGTCGAGGGAGAAGGGAAGAAGCAGGTTGGGGAGCTCCAGTTAGTTGGGTGTGGCTATTTTACAGCAGTACTCAAGTATCAGGATAAATAGGCTTAAAACATACTTTGGGCTTATGAACTGAAAGTCTCCTTTTGAAGTGACAACAAGAAATAAATTGGAATGTGGAGTCTTCCTGAATCTATACCTAGTCTGTCAACACCAAAAAAATCCAGTTAATTCAGTCAAACTGATTATTTGGCATCATGTAGACACAGCTGTCTTGAGCTAAAATTTTGAACACTTAAAGATAGATGGCATTGTACCCAGAGCCAGCTGGTACAATGGCATCTATCTATAATTGTGTATAAAGGATTGCTTAAGATTTAAAAGATTGGAAATAGAACTTAATTGCTCGAAATTCAAGCTGGACTCCATTGAACAGCAATTTAAAAACAAAAACAAAAACAAAATCCCCGGTGTGTGTGATAAAATTTCTTGGCAAATGGGTTCCCTTGATAAATTCACACTTTTAGTTCCTAAGAGTATGCTCTGGTAATTTAACTATGTAAATTGCTTGAATATAAAAAGTAAAGGGAATTCTCTATGTACCTTTTTTTAAAAAAAAACTGTATTTAACCTAGCTTGTAGGCATTAAAGTCATAATGAGATCCTAATGTAAAATAAATCCTGAGACTTTTCTTCAGGACATCTATTTTGGGTGATATTATTTTGCTCTTTGCCAAAATCAAGTATTTGTCTTAAGTATGCTTTATCAGTGTGATTTGTTTTATGCAAGAATTCTTTATAACTCTGAATATTATTGTATTCCCCCAGATGACATGGAAGCCATTCCTGTCAAACAGTTTGTCAAACACATCGGTGAGCTCTATTCTAATAACCAGCATGGGTTCTCTGAGGATTTTGAGGTATGTTTCAAAGCTGGAAGTTAACTTCCAGAAACTTAACTCGTACTTTGTGCAGATTTTTGGAAACTTGAACTGAATTCATTCCAAGCATAACAAAACAATTAACTGTGGAAAGGGGAGTTTTTCATCTATAATTTTAATAGGCATTCTTTTCCCAATAAAATTTAGGTGAAAGGGGAGTTGATTGTACCTGTCTTGAACCTGTAGTTCTATAAAAGAACAGACTTAGTGATAGAAAAGAAGCAAACTTGTAGGGATTGTTTTTCGGGTTCTTGCTTCGTCTAACTGGGAACAACAATTATAATACAAAGCTCCCTAATTCTGTGTCTTTTCTGCAATGCACATGGTGTAGTGAAGATAGCAGGTCTGGTGTCTGAAAAATGATGCTAGTTTCATCAGTAGTGAGCTTCATAATCCTCAGGCCAATCACCTCATTTAGGGTCCCCAGGTTTCCCATTTTAAAAAATGGCACCAATGTCACCTACGTTGTAAAGTTGTTGGAGAAGATAAATGATTAACATTTTTAAACACGCTGAGTTTATTGTTAAGAGCCATGCAAAGGTTGACTGTTGTTGTTTTCATGATTATTAATCCTTGGAGAGAAGACTTGGGTTAAGACAGCCTTCTGATTTTAAGAACTGGTGTGTAGGAAACAAGGTAGAGAGAGGCATGCACCACCCTGCCAACTCTGGGTTCCGTGCCAGTTCAGCAGTGACAGGGTGTCAATGAGGAGCTATTAAACAGACTGCCCTTTTCTTCACTGAGGCGCTTAACTAAGGCACATCTCTGGCAGCAAGAGTTGTGTCGAGGAGGCCAAGTTTTCATGGCAGCTCAGCTGTCTCCTAGCTTTATGGGTAAGTCAGTTCCTTTTTCTGTCTCATTTCTACTTTAAAATAGAAATGATGATGACGACGATGCTGCTAACCTGGCCATCTCTTTCAACAAAATTGGTTAGGGGCAAAATGAAGTAATGGAAGGTAAGCACTTTAAGATCATCTAGGAGTCTTACAGCTGTAAGGTGCAGTTACCTTGAATGAACAATGAGAAATAAAAACAGAACAAAAAGCCCATCTATGCACATTTGGAATCCCCAAAGGCTATCATGAAGGCAATTATATTGATGACTTGTTTTAAATTAAGTCTTTCTCTTAGTTGTTTGTTAGTTTTTGTTGTTTTGAGCAGAATGAGAGCAAAGGTGGTCAAAAGAACCTCTGATTTATTCTATGAAGTCATGTGTTTTATGGAACCAACAAAAGCATGTCAAGTATTTATTGCTATTAGATGCTTACTGAAAAAGGTGCCTATTCAACTACAAAGAACATGGTTTAAGTCAAACATTTTGTATTCATGAGGACAGCAAATGTGTGTGGTGTTAAAGTGATTTAGTTCAATTGACTGTTGGCTGGATGACTGAACAAGAATATTGAGGCATTTAACAATGTTGATGATATTCAGGACAAACATTTATCCTCTAGAGAGCAGAATGTGATCAGGATGATCAAATGCAACTCCAGTTTCTCAATTATTTATGATTTGAGACCCCAGTGCTATTCCTCACAGCTGGTTTTGACACCATTTAATTATTCAAAATAATCAGCTACACCTCTGGAAACTTGATCTGACTTAAAATGGGCTTTGCTGCCTCAAAATCATGCCCCCTAACAAATCCTGGGCATCCGTACCCTATTTCCGTCCTAAAAAAATATATACTGCGGCTAAAAGCTTTAATCACCTATGCTGAACTTTATAGCTTAAGTAGTATTAGCTGATACTTATGGGAGTGGAATGGGGAGGGCAGACAGGAAGGTGAAATGACTGTTGTCATTTCACAATCTTTTCAGGTTTGAAAGGTTTAAAATCAGAGCTATTCAGAATAGGAAGGCTATCCTTCTGAAAAGAACAGCAAAGCAGCAACATAAAGGGGAGAATAAGAAAATCGAAAAGGTCACCATTATTATTGTCACTTTATAATTCAGTGAAAATTTGAAGTATTTTAAAAGAGTAGTATTTCTTTTGGGTAACTGCCAAAAGGGAAAACTGGTACTAGGCAACAGAAGAAGCGATTGCAGCTATTTTATAAACAGAGATAGTAACAGGCTTTGTAAGAAAGGATAGAAAAAGATTTTGTGCAATTAAAAACAAACTTTTATTATGGTAAGAGAGTTAAGGTAATCTCAGTCTCAGATTTCCAGACCCATTTACATGGAATAATGGTAGCCAGCATTTACTGGTTAGCACTGTGAGCAGATCATTCCAGTATTTCCTGAGGTAGGTGCTATCTTATTGTCCCCATTTTACTGATGATGAAACTACCCATGAGAAAACGGAGGCTGTGGCTGGCTACATTTTGAAATGGCAGCAGTAAGGTTTACACATTAAGGTTTAAGTTCCTGTCTGACTTGAACCCACATGGTTCACCTTGATACCATCCAGACTCTTTAAAGTAGTACCCTGGGTCAGGCAGAGTGGCTCAGACCTGTAATCCCAACACTTTGGGAGACCAAGGAAGGAGAGTGGCTTGATACCAGGAGTTCCCAACCAGCCTACTTTCAGAAGTTACGTGCTTTTGAAAATTTACTGATTCTCTAATTTCAGAATAATTCTTCCCAGTAGATAGATAGATAAAACAGCATTCACAGCTAGCTCAAGTTTGAATATCTCCTAAAATAAAGGAATACATTAATTAGCCAGGTATGGTGACACAACAACTGTAGTCTGCTTAGCTATTCAGAGGCGGAGGCAGGAAGATCCCTTGAGCCCAGGAGATTGAGGCTGCAGTGAGCTATGATTGCACCACTGCACTCCAGCCTGAGCGACAGAGCAAGACCCTGCCTCAGGAAAAAAAAAAAACACCAAAAAGCCAGAGTAATGTCCTGTAATGAGCCAAGGTCAGAAGTAGAAATAAGCAAGCTTGCAAGTGACTAGAAATGATCATGCCGCTGTGCTTTGATAATACAAAAAGGTGGGGAGAGCAGTCAAATTAGGAACGCCCCTCAACTAGGAGTATTAGGTGACTATTACACAATCTTTACAGTCTCTAGCCTTCTCAGATAGCTGAGAATGTGACTCAGATTATGACTCAAGATTAATATACTTAAAAGATTAATATTAATGTCTTGACTAATTTTAGGTCAGCATCTTATCCAACATGTAGACCTAACATTAGTCAAAGTATTGATCTTAAAATTATAGAGAAATACAACTTAAAAGTTAACAACTGGCCATTAAGAGGCACTAAAACAACCCATCTAACAGTTACTGAGGATCTGCCATTCTCTGGACATAATATAAGATACAAAAATGAATTACAGTCCTTGCCCTCAAAGAGTTCAATCTCGTTTTGCGGGAGGCCAGGGTGTACACAACCAAAACAGAAATGGGACAAAGCAAAATAAGTGCTATTGTACAGGCATAAAGTTCCGAAGAAGTGCAAAGAACAAAGGCACCTATGTATTTTCTTTGGCGATTTCAGCAAAAATTCTCTCCCATCATGGTTAAACATCTCGGAAGCACAAAATGTTGAATAACTATTGTAGTTTCAGAACTTTGCTGCTTGGCAAATGAGAAAAACAATTCACTGGTAGGTAATTTTGAGTTTTTGTCTAGAAGTGCTGCTGAAAGCCAGCTCTTTGTCATTGTGAGAGAAATTCTAGAGACCGTGAAAAGCGGTATCATACAGTATTTGCAGTCACTAGACATCACATCAATCCTTGTCTTGTAACAGCGTTCGATGACACCATTCCCTTGGCTACCTGAGCTAACTTCAACCTACTATCCTTCCAGGGAGTAGTTTCCCAGAGTAGTATTAAAAGACTGAGAGCCTCTTCCTCGGCCCCCACAATCATAATGCAGAAGGCTTCCAAAGAAGCAGTGCTAGTATACTCTTTCAAAAGGAAGGGACTCGAAAGCTCCATGAGTCAGAAGAATTAACAGGCAGGCACTGGGAGAATCAGAAGTCTAAAAGCAGAGTACAGGATGAGGCCAGAGGTCCACAGCCCCTTGACAAGATCCTTTGTGGGAATGCCTCTATTGCAGTTAACCAGCTGTGCTAAATTTGGGGTGGTTGTTCATCTTAAATCAAAAGAACAAAGCTTTGTCCACCTGAGCCCATGCTCTGAGGGACCAGTGGCCACATCATTTTAGGTAATGAAGGGAGACATCCAAGGCTGCTAATGACATATAATAGGGAGGTCTCCAGTCAGAGATGTAATGCTGCACTGACTGCTGCCTGCAAGAGGGCAGAAAATGATCTTGTAGGGAGGGTTGTCCAATCTTTGGCTTCCCTGGGCCACACTGGGAGAATAATTGTCTTGGGCCACACATAAAATACACTAACAGTAGCTGATGATCTTAAAAAAAAAAAAAAAAAAAAAAGTTCCAAAAAAAAAAATCTCATAATGTTTTAAGAAAGTTTACGAATTTGTGTTGGGCTGCATTCAAAGCCATCCTAGATCGCACGTGGCCCGTGGGCCATGGGTTGGACAAGCTTGCTGTAGAGTTTGTTTCCTAAGTCATTTGGACAAAAATGCCCGTTTTTGGTCTTAAACATCTTAAGAAAAACATTTTTAAATGGTTATGAGATAAATCAGTTGTTTGAGGTTTTTGTGAAGAGATAAAAGGGAGATAGCTACATTTCCCTAATTAAACATGAAAGATAATTATGTTACAGACCAGCTGCAGGATAATAATGCTGTTATACTTTCCAAATATGGGTTAGTTTTCTGGGGGGTGGGGCAAACACAGTTATTTTAGATAAAGATACATGGATTTGGACAGAGGAAGAGACCAGTCATTCTTACCAAGGTAAATGGCAAGAAGGCAAAGAGCAGAAAATCCAGAGGTGTTTTCAAAGGGTATGGAGTTAATACTGTCTGGGACTGGGAAGAGAGTGGAAGATAAGATGGGACCTTGAAAGCCTGGCTAAAAAAATGTGGAACCTCTCCAGATGTTTCTGAGAAAGGGAGTAACAGTACAACATGTGAAGAAAATCAGTCTGTCAGCAATTTATACCCTGAGCAGAAGAGAGTAGAAGCCAGAAGATGCAGTGTAACCAGCACCTGTCAAAGGCCAGTTCTGTGTCTGACACTGTAGATGCACTGAGTCACTATCATGACCTAAACCCATCAGTCTTCTGTAAACAGTCTCCGTAACGCAACTGCAGGCTGCCTGAACTCAGGCACTGAGAATGTTACCCCTACTTGGTCTAATACTTGGTAACCAGATCCAAGTAATTTATTCTCAGCTTCCTTTGTGGAACTGAGCAATCTGAAAGATTTCTAGATGTTGTGTTGCATTTATTATTTTTTTCTTTAATTGAGCCACAGTATAGTAGGACAAGTTTTTAAGGGCTCTTTAGATAGCCTCTTGCATCAATGACTCTAGGTAGGGAGTGATTTAGCCTATGTCACTTACCTAGAATTCTGGGGGGTATCACATTTTAGGGTTTGTTCAGTTTTTGATTTTTTGCTTTATTTTAAACCTGTCTTCTATTGGCCTTCTCCTTTGCTTATGTGCCTGTTAAGATTCAGACTGTTCTTTTTGAGAATTCTAGCTTTGTTATACAGAGAGTAAAATATAAACAAGCTTAAACAGAGGTCTGAATTTATCAGAGTTCTGTATAGGTAACTTTACAATGCATACTCCATTGGCCAGTATCTCTTTAAAGAGCTTTTAACACCTGTTAAAACATGTTAACTTTGAAATGGCCGTTCTGATAGAGAAAAGCCACTCCAGGATCTGATGATATTATCAGTATCTAAATGAGCCAAGTAGTACTGCAAGGAATTACAGATGACATTATTATCAAAACAAAATCAGAAGGCCAAACCCTATGGGTTCTAATAAAATCAGATTTGACAATATTTATTACTGTTTTTTGTTTTTGTCATTCATGTAACTGGAAAAGTGAAATAGAGGCAACAGATCAGACAAGGGGTTTTAGATAACAAAGAGTTTGATTGGCCATATTGAATGACAGCTTTAAACAATGCTGACAGCTGCTCCCAAGCAGTCTTGGTCAATTGCATTATATTAGAAAAGAGGCTCCAACTTCAGTCCATAGCTGGGGTGGTCAAATCCATACAACAGGAAAAAAAAAAAAAAATCAGACTAAGGTAGTAAAAGCTACAATCTCTCAGCATAAGATATCTGAACAACTCAACCCTAAAGAAGTATATGTCAAAGGTGTGACCTTTGAAACCTGAAAACAAAAGAATAACTTGTTTCAAATCCATTTTCAAAAGTTGTCTGAAACTATTCAAAAGAGCATGCCTTAGGTCTTTTAAGGCAGTTTTAAAAGGCAGGTCCCAATATGCTAAGTTTGCCTAGCATTGCTCATGTTCTTACATAAAATGATTTGTAACCACAGTTTATTATCTCATTTTAGAGAACAGCCAAAGGGCAGCCTTGATGCTCCTTAAACCAGTGTTTTCCAAAGCATCAGTTATAAGCTATGTTAGAACAGAAAATATTGGAATTTATTAAATTTAGTAAGCGTAAGAAATGGGTAAAAACTATCATGAAACATGCTTTCCCTAAAAAGGTGGATTCAGTTAACGCCTGTGGGGGCTTTTTTTTAAATGGACAGCTGGGAAGGACTATAATTATGGAAGCTTCAATATACCATGCCCAACAATTAGAGAGTCATCGAATACTGTTTCTTTGAACAGACAGAAATTCTTTGCTTTTATACCTTAAATTCTTTGCGTATAGTGACTTCCTCCTTAGAAGAAGTGTACTTCTCACTGGGAAGTACATTGTGACTATAAAAGACAACCAGTTCATTGTTTTCATTATGTTTAATATAAATACTATGGAAAACATCCCTAATTGCTATGCAACTCCTTTGTGGAAAAAAAAAGTCTGCATGCTCCTAAACTCTGCTACATCTGTTCTGTGTAAAACATTTCTCCCGATAATTTTGCGTTACTCAATGAGAACACATGGACACAGGGAGGGGAGCACTACACACTGGGGTCTGTTGGGGGGAAATGGGGGAGGGGCGGGGGGTGGGGAGGTGGGAAGAGATAGCATGGGGAGAAATGACAGATACAGGTGAGGGGACGGAAGGCAGCAAAACACACTGCCATGTGTGTACCTATGCAACAATCTTGCATGTTCTTCACATGTACCCCCAAACCTAAAATGCAATAAAAAAAAAAAAATTTTGCGTTACTTTGCTCAGGCTTTTTGTAGCAGCTGTGCATCACTAATGACTTCCCTTATTAGTTAGCTCCAGTACTTTCTTGGGTTTGAAGCGTATAGTATAGAAAAATTTGGCTTTTTAGCAACATTGTGTTAGGCTAATGGATAATGTTTATAGCCACTGCCAAGGTGGTATCAGAGCATTGTTTCTGCTACTGCTATTTTTTCCCAAAGAAGGATAACTTTTAAAATATTAGAGTTCATAAATAATTTGTGAAGACTGTATATATGAGATATGACCATTAGTTGGGCTATTATTAGGGTTATTTCAGCACTGAATCTTCAGAGTCAATTTGTAGCCTCACAATTATAAATGAGGCTATCAGGCCTCTAAGCATATTGCAAATCATCGTAGAGATTATACTTCTTAGAAATTCCCTTTCTTCTTTTAAGACTAGGTACATTTTTTCACCTGTCTAAAGCCTTCCTCTGTTCTTCTGTGCTCCCGTCGCAGCTTTTTCAGGCCTCTTTTCTATTCGTCATGTTTGACTATTTTTGAATACTTTTCTCACCCATAGACTGTGATGTCTAAATCTAGAATACAGTAGATGATTGATGAAATATTAAAGAATGAAATCTTTATACCTTCTTCACATTCTTCATAAACTTGTTATATAATTATATCTGAAGTTGAGATTGGGGAGGTAATGGTGGCTGTGGCTAGGGAATGAGTAAGTATTTTATGCTTTTGAATGTATATGGTGTTCCTTTGTTTCTAAACTGTGTCTAAAATTCTGCTGTTTTCTTCACTAGGAAGTCCAGCGTTGTACTGCTGATATGAACATCACTGCAGAACATTCCAATCATCCAGAAAACAAGCACAAAAACAGATACATCAACATTTTAGCATGTGAGTAATAAACTTTAAACTATCTTCAACTGTGAGGAAATTAAATTTTCATGCTGAGTATAAGCTGAAAGCCAAGCAATCAGAAGCAGGATGCCAAGAAAGAATGATACTTGCAAGCTAACCTCTCATTAGCCCATCTTCAACAGTGTAGAAGCAGGGACATTTTCTTCCCCCTTGGTCTTTCATTAGCTGTCAGAGCTCAGAGAGCTTAATAAGGTGACTGAAAGAAAATGTTCTGAGCTTCACTATTTTCACATGAAGTGATGTCATATCAAATGTTGGGAGCCAAAATTTGAATGTCATTTGGCTATCTTGACAATGGTTTTAACCTGTAAGGCCCATATCTTTTTTTTTTTTTTTTCCACTTAAAAGACCAGTGTGATAGTAAGGCGCCAAATCTTTTAAATACAAATGAAAATATTGGGAATTGAATGACGCAAGCTGAATATCAAAACATTTCCGTCTTCATTTATTTATTTTTTTTGAGACGGAGTTTCACTCTTGTTGCCCAGGCTGGAGTGCAGTGGCATGATCTTGGCTCACAGTAACCTCTACCTCCCGGGTTAGAGCGATTCTCTTGCCTCAGCCTCCCGAGCATTCTTTGAAAGACTACATAATTGGTCTGTACCTTAAATGATGAGTCTCCAGGCCTTTTGGTCCATGTGCTCAGCCCTATCTATCACATGACCACGATCAGGAATATTCTGTAGGTTAGGGATGCAAACAAATGGACATTCTTCATACAGAGCCTCAAGGAATACTGTAGGAGCACAAGCTACTTTTATGGCTAGAAGACCACATTTCATAGATATCTGGGGCTTGGGTCACTGACATTTAATATATGCTTTGATACTAAGGGTAGGGGCATAGATATTTATAGTTAACATACACTATGGTAAGGACTACATTACACAGAATTATATATAATAGTGCATTTAAATTGGACCACTGACCAGGCACACTGGCTCACGCCTGTAATCCCAGCACTTTGGGAGGCCGAGGCAGGTGGATCATGAGGTCAAGAGATCGAGACCATCCTGGTCAACAAGGTGAAACCCCGTCTCTACTAAAAATACAAAAAAAAAAATTAGCTGGGCATGGTGGCACATGCCTGTAATCCCAGCTACTCAGGAGGCTGAGGCATGAGAATCACTTGAACCCAGGAGGCAGAGGTTGCGGTGAGCCGAGATCGTGCCATTGCAATCCAGCCTGGGTGACGAGAGCGAAACTGCTTCTCAAAATAAAATAAAATAAATTGGACCACTTAAAATTTGAACACTAATATATAACGTTTTCTTAAAGTTTTAGTGAAATACTCACATACCATATGAAATTTACCCATTTAAGGCCGGGCACAGTGGTTCATGTCTATAATCCCACCACTGTGGGAGGCTGAGGCAGGCAGATAACTTGAGACCAGGAGTTTGCGACCAGCCTGGCCGACATGACGAAACCCTATCTCTATAAAAAATACAGAAGTGAATGGGGCATGGTGTCATGCACCTGTAGTCCCAGCTACTCGGGAGGCTAAGGCATGAGAATCACTTGAACCCAGGAGGTGGAGGTTGCTGTGAGCCAAGATGGCGCCACTCCACTCCAGCCTAGGCAACAGAGCAAGACGTCTCCACAAAAAAAAAAAAAAAAAAAAAAAAAAATTACCTATTTAAAGTATACAACTCAGTGGCTTTTAGTATATTCAGAGAGTTGTACAATCATCACCACAGCCAATTTTAGAACATTTTTTGCACCTCAGCAAGAAACTCATTAGCAGGCACTCCCAATTCCTCCTTCTCTCCAGCACTTAGAAACCCTGTATCTACTTTGTCTCTGTGGGTTTGCATATTCTGGACATTGCATATAAACAGATTCATACTATGTGTGACCTTTTGTGTCTACTTCTTTCATTTAGCATAATGATTTCAAGATTCATCCATGTTGTACCATGTATAGTGCTTCATTCCCTTTTATCACTGAATGATACTCTAATATATGGATATACAGCATTTTGTTTCCAGTTGATAGTTTTTTTTCCCCCCATTTCTCAGCTAGTATGAATACTGCTATGAACATTCATGTACAAGTCTTTATGTAGACATATATTTTCAGTTCTCTTGGGTATACACCTAGGATTAGAATTGCTAGATTATATGGTAATGATATGTTTAAAATTTTGAGGAACTATCAAACTCTTCCAAAGTGGCTATTCATTTTACATTCCCACCAACAGTATATAAAGGGTCCCGTGTTTCCACATCCTCACCAACTCTTATTTTTTAAAAAACATTACAGCCATCCTAACAGGTATGAAGTGGTATCCAATTATAGTTTTGATTTTAGCATCTAATAGTGACGTTGAACATCTTTTCATGCTTATTGGCCATTTGTGTATCTCGTTTGGAGAAATGTCTAATTAGATCCTTTACCATTTTTTAACTGGATTACTTTTGTCTTTTGTTGAGTTTTAAGAGTCCTTTATATATTCTGCATACAGATATCATTTATTGAATATATAGTTCGCAAATATTTTCTTATTCTGTGCATTGTCTTTTCACTTTCTTAATGTGAGTTCTTCAAGATTGCTTTGGCTACTCTTTCAATTATTTATAGTCTGAATTGTACTATTGTGCTTGTTTTATTAAATTTATTCCTAAGTATTTTATTCCATTTGATGCTAATGTAAATAAAATTGTTTGCTTAGTTTTAGTTTTCGATTGCTCATTGCTAGTGTATATAAATACAATTGTAGGTTGTATCCTAAAACTTTGCTGAACCCATCTATGCTAGTAGTTCTTTTTTGTGGATTCCTTGAATTTCTATATTCAAGATGTCCAATATAAACAGAGACTGTTTATTTCTAAATAAAGTGTTACAAAAACTCCAAGTTACTTTTGAATAGGATTGTTTGTTCTACTTTTCTGAGAAAATGAAGAGGTTAAAAAAGGCAGGGGGAGAACAATGAAGAAAGTCAAACCTCTCCCCAGTCTTTGGATTGACTTTGGCAGTATTTGATGGCCAACTCAAGCAAGGTTCACCGCTGCTGTGACTATGAGGATTTGTCTATCTGGATATGCCTTCTTTCTAACCAGAGAAATCAAGAAAGGATATATACACATCTCTCACACACACACACCATTCTCTCCACCACAGCATCCTTTACCTCTAATGGCCTTACTGTCTTGCTAAAAGCACTGTGGCAGAGAAGGAGGAGAAAATCAAAGCAACTTCTTTGTGATGTGCCCAGAGGTCATGGTGTTTTATTAGAAAACCATCTCTGATTAAATGTGGGTTGCACTTTCACAACTTCATTTGTGATTTTACTTTCACAATTTCAAATGAGATGTGGTTTTACTTTCAAACATTCAGGGAGTTAGGTTTTGGTGTTCTATTGGCCACTCAGATTCTGGGCACATTGCCTGCCTTCATCTACACCTATAGTAATGCTTTTTATACCAAAGAATAGCATAGAAATATCACAGAAACAAGTAAAACAGACCGTGAATGTGCCAGAAACATGTATGAAAAACCTCACAGATTTGTCACAACTTTCAAGGTATATGTGGATGTCACCAAATCACCTCCCATGTTGGTCTATTAATGTCTTATTTGTCAGTCTAAGAACTAACACTATACGGTCTAATGGATACTAAGGCATAACAGTTTGGATGCAGATGCCTTAGAATAAATTTTTCCTTTGGGGCCTATTTATATCAAGCAACACCTGTTTCATGTCAACCCTAAACTGAAAGTTTGTCAGAACAACAGAAGCAGTTCACAGCTCCAAGAATGTAGAGGGCTCTCAAAAACTGCTTGGTATATTTAGAGGAAATGCCTGTGCTGATCCACTCATTGGACTTCTTTTTGAACTATTGTTTTATGACAATGACTATAGACACAAACATAGATTGGGTTTTGCCCATTCTGTTTCTACCTAGGGAAAATAAAAGTATGACCTCAGCTTCCTTTTACTTATTTTGCTATCCTAAAGAAGCAGGCTCACTCTCTTGGGCAACTGGATACACATCATAAATCCCTTTCCCCCACTTTTGTTCATAAACTGAGGTTAAGTGGATCCTAAAATCTGAACATTAACTTCACATTCCTATAATGAGATTACTCTTGAAAAAAGCTCTGGTTTCCTCAATTACTTAGGTTCTGCTGGGGTAGCAGGGAATCGAAGTGAATTAGCAATGGAACTGCCTGCAATATTAATAGATGTTTTGGACTTGATATTATCATCAGTCACCCTTTTATATTTGTATTAATGCGGAGGGAACTGGGGCATAGGGCATAATCAAAGCCCTTTGAACTTCAAATTACAGAATAAGCAAATACCTTTGAATTTGGCTTTACAATATAGAAGGAGGCAATTTTGGAGGACTGCAATTTGTAATCATTTTAAATGAATTTGCATACTGAGAGCAGGAGATGTAGAAGTGGCTCTATATTTTGGGGATGGTTTTGAATGCTCTATTTAGTTGTTCTACCAGAAGTTTTCTTAGTCTACCTGACTGCCTTGTGTTGTGCTTCAGAATGCTGTTAGTTTCTGAGTTATACATTATATTTTTGCTTTTTTTCTTCTATAGATGATCACAGTAGGGTGAAGTTAAGACCTTTACCAGGAAAAGACTCCAAGCACAGCGACTACATTAATGCAAACTATGTTGATGTAAGTCAGAAATGTTACTATAAGCCTGTTACTGGAAATTGACGAATGCAGAAGAAACTGTTTGATGTATTTTAATACTGTACAGAGCTTTTACTAAAAACAAAGCCTATTCAGTATGGAAAGTATTTGAATTATTTACTGGTCTTCTGTGATAGTGCTTTCATCTTAATTTGTGCTGCGTCATTTTGAAGGGTTACAACAAAGCGAAAGCTTACATTGCCACCCAAGGACCTTTGAAGTCTACATTTGAAGATTTCTGGAGAATGATTTGGGAACAAAACACTGGAATCATTGTGATGATTACAAACCTCGTGGAAAAAGGAAGAGTAAGAGCTCCTTGATTCACTATCTTAATAAAGCACCTTCATTCAAAAAATATTTATGGAGTACCTGCTGTAAGGTAGTAACTTGACAAGGTATAAAGAGTTACAGAAATGGAAAGTGTTCTCTCTGCTCTTACCTTGCTTATGATCCAGTAGGAAAGAGAGCTAAGGCATTATAAGAAAAATTAAATGTGATGAAAGAGATGAACAGGGTATTAGTATAATGCTGCAAAATGAATCAGTGTATCCTCTGTAGGTTCCTCTGTACAAAAATTTTTTTAAAGGAGCTAATACTTGAGATGAGACTTGAGCAATGATTAGAGGAGTTACGCAGGCTAAGAATAGAAGGAAAGGGCATTCTAAGTACAGGAGACAGAATAGTAAACAGGGAAGTTGAAAGAAGCATAGTGTAGTCAAGGAACTACTAATAGTTAAGACTAGGGGAAGCAAAAATTGCTTAAACAGTTTGACCATCATTAAGAGGACCTTTTAAAAAAAATAATGCTGTAGCATTTGTTGGATTATAAGTTTACACTAGATGATGCTAATTTAGACTGGAATAAAAGCTATACTTCAGGGAATCACCACACTGGGTTGACAGGTACAGCAAACCACTATGGGACACATTACCTATGTAACAAACCTGCACGTCTTGCACATGTACCCCAGAACTAAAACTAAAAATTAAAAACATAAAAAATAAAAATAAGAGAAGCTACACTTGAGGTTCCCTGCTCAAAATCACCACTGCTTCATGTTGTAGAGTCCCTGTTTTACTTTTGGTGATCCAATTTATAACAAGAAGTTTGTCACAGTCAGAAGAGACCTTCCATAAATTCAACCCAGCTTTCCAAATGATACTTACTTAAGATCCCTTTATAACAAAACCCTGCCCACATTTCTTACAGGTCAGACATAGAAGTTTCTTTCTTAGTCCCTTTTTAAAATGTATACATACTGAAAGGTGGTCATAATTACTAGGCCCATTTCTCACATGGTCTTACACAAACTTTTCCCAAGCCATCAACCTCATCAGAGGTCATACCTGCCTTAAAGCAGTTAAACTCATGTATTCCTTTTTCAGTCAACCAAATGGCATTCTTACCTGTGTTTTAACATTGTCGTTTGAAATTACATTATCAACAGAATTGTGGCACAGATTCCAGTTATACTTTAAATTTTTTTTTCTTTTTTGCAGCGAAAATGTGATCAGTATTGGCCAACAGAGAACAGTGAGGAGTATGGAAACATTATTGTCACGCTGAAGAGCACAAAAGTACATGCCTGCTATACTGTTCGTCGTTTCTCAGTCAGAAATACAAAAATGAAAAAGGTATGGAAGGAATCGGGTAGGCTGCCAGGGCATCTCCTTTTTATACTTGTATGAAAGTTACTGTACAACCAAAGCCAAATCTCATAACCAACTTGGTTTTTAAAAAGTATTTTAAAAACATTTTTCATGACTGTTTTGATCGACATCAGTGTATGCTATGAAAGGTACTGACAAAGCCTATCATAGAATTTAACTGGCCTGATTGAGCTCTTTAATCTCTATGTGAACAGGCTTCATTTTTTAAAAAAATCATCCTCTTAGATTTTGGTAATACTCAGCAAATATGGCAGCATCTGTTTGATTTGGCTTTTAATTCCGGTTTTCTGACAGCTTTAAACCATTGTTTCCCAAAGTGTGTTCCAAGGAATACGTGTGCTGTAAGATTCTCATAAAAGTCAGATTCTGCTGTTCACTAAGAATGGAAAATGAGCCGGGCGCGGTGGCTCACGCCTATAATCCCAGCACTTTGAGAGGTCGAGGCAGGTGGATCACGAGGTCAAGAGATCGAGACCATCCTGGTCAACATGGTGAAACCCCGTCTCTACTAAAAATACAAAAAATTAGCTGGGCATGGTGGCACACACCTGTAATCCCAGCTATTCAGGAGGCTGAGGCAGGAGAATTGCTTGAACCCAGGAGGCGGAGGTTGCGGTGAGCTGAGACCGCGCCATTGCACTCCAGCCTGGGTAACGAGCAAAACTCCGCCTCAAAAAAAAAAAAAAACTGAAAATGAATGCTACATAATGTATATTCCCCTGCCATTTTAGAAATTTACAGTGAACTTAAGTGACCAAAGCACTGGTGTTAAAAATAAAACCCTTTTCTACAGAACTACTAATACCCTGAGCATCACACTTATGGAAATACTGTTTTCAGGTTATCTCAGTTTCTTTTTCAAAATCCACTGTCACAACAAGAATCCTAGATCAATGAACACAGGAGTACAGCAATCCCCTCTTAATTGTGTAAGGTATGTTTCAAGACCCCCAGTGATGCCTGAAACCTCAGATAGTACTGAAGCCTGTTTATACAATGTCTTTTCCTATACATCCATACCTGTGATAAAATTTATAAATTAGGCATGGTAAGAGATTAATACTGAAATAGAACAATAATATTCTGTAATAAGTTAAATGAATGTATACTCTTTCTCTTAAAATACTGTAATATTTTTGGACTGTGGGTTGACCTCGAGAATGTGAAACTGCAGATAAGGAGGAACTACTGTATGAAGAATAGTAAACAGATGCTCATTAAAAAACGTAGCTCTTCCACAGAACTTAGGTATGGCAGTTGTTTGCAGCAGTGGGATAATTTTGTTTTCTTGGTGTCTTGGACATTTTGGAAAATGTGATAAAACTGTATCCTCCTTGCCCCATTTACATTGACATTTACTCACATTTTTATATAAAATTCAGGGGCTCCAAAGCCCATCTGTGATCCCAGGTATTTTTATTTCCCAAAATGAAAGAAATACCGTGAGTATCAGTAGTGTAGCACAAGATCTGTGTTCTGTGATAAAATAGACCTGCTGACTGGCTCAAGATAATCAATAACCAGCATAAAACTTAAAAATTCCAACTAATGGGAATCTTTCAGGTATTTAAATAGGGCGCACCTCCTCTTGTTTTAGAAACAGCTTAAGTCAGAGTAAGAAGTCAAGTAGGAACTTAAGGTGTTTTACATACAGGAAAAAGTAGAAAAATGAGAGTTAACAGAAGAATTAAAGCTATCATGGGCCTATGTATAATAGCACAGGACCAGACGCCCTTCCAGCTTCAATGTTGATTAATGACCCTGAGTCATCCAAAAAAATTTAGAAATTATTGAGGTATTGATAATAAGAAAACATATAGCATGTCATCTATTTGGGGGAAAATTTTCATCTAAAGTATTTAAAATTTATATAAAAACTTCAGTCACTTAAAGGAAAACTACTCTGAAAAAGTCGTTTATGAAAGTGACAGATAAATGAGACATTGCCTCTGACTCTAAAGACAGAAGTATTGGACACTTAGAATCTTCCCATCACTTCCTGGATAGTTTACAGCAGCAACCAGCACTCTAGCACTCTGACTTCTGAAGGTCCAGCCTGGACAGTGGAGAGGGAGTGGGAATCATAGCCCACAGAAATGAAAGCAAAGTACTAAGATCTGGACTTGGGACAGAAAGTCAGGAAATGGAGTACTTGCAAGAAAATTGCAAGTGCTTTAGATAGTTCCAAATCCAAAAAAACTGATACTAAATACTAAATGTTCGTTCTTAGTACAGTCTTAGTCTTCTCTTCTAAGTGATAGTGATACTTCATATAGAGCTTGGTAATGTCTCCATTTAATGGCATGAAAGTTGGCTACAAGAGGAAATAACCTAGCTTGGGAAAAGTGATTAGGGTGAATGAGATCAGTGGTCATGTGTCCTGACAGCCTTACATTACTTTTTTTCCAGAATGTCCACCCCTCACCTTAAAGACATCTTTTTTCACCTTTCTCACAGGGTCAGAAGGGAAATCCCAAGGGTCGTCAGAATGAAAGGGTAGTGATCCAATATCACTACACACAGTGGCCTGACATGGGAGTTCCCGAGTATGCTCTTCCAGTGCTGACTTTCGTGAGGAGATCCTCAGCAGCTCGGATGCCAGAAATGGGCCCTGTGTTGGTGCACTGCAGGTACAGTCTGGGATTCAATATGCGAAGTAGGTGGGACAGGGGACTTAGGACTCAGTGATCTTGGACCACAATGACAACTACTGCTTTAATGTAGAAGCTGAATCTTCCACTAGAAACTGGGATGGGTAAGACTTACAATAGTTTTAAAGAGGCTCTATTCCTGTAACAGTAAGAACTCATCTGCTTCTTCTGTGGTTTTTAAAATCTCTAGTTTTTTGTAAAATTACCTTATCATAATATCAGCCAGGCGTGGAAGCCAACAGCTGTAGCTGAGGTGGGAGGATTGCTTGAGCCCAGGAGTTTGAGACCAGCCTGGGTAACAAAATGAGACCTCTTTTCTACAAAAAAAAAAAAAAAAAAAAATTAGCTGGCATGGTGGCACATGCCTGTGGTCCCAGCTACATGGGAGGTTGAGACAGAAGAATCCCTTGAGCCCAATAGGTCAAGGCTGCAGTGAGCTGTATTTTCACCACTGCACTCTAGCCTGGGTGATAGAGCAAGACCCTGACTCAAAAAAAAAAAAAAAAAAAAAAAAATCCCTGTCGTTCATAGGAAAATTGTAGGCTTATCCTAATAAATAAGAATCTAGTGTTAAACGCAAGTTAAGAACTTTCTACCCTAGAGATTGTGTTTTTGTAAATGGCTTTTCTGAAAGGTTCTTCTAAATAATATTTATTGTATATATGAAAAGATTTCATTTTAAAATTTTTAGTTTATAAGTTCTGTATAAAATACCTTTTCAAAAGCACTGGGAAATGCTTGTATAAAGCTTGTTTTCTATCAACTACACTAAATGACTTTAGTTGGTTGTTTAAAAATGCTTTTATTGTTTGATTTGCAAATGCATTCTTGCCTCTTCCCCCCGCCCCCCGCCCCCACCACCACTTAGGTACTCAAATAAATGTGGCCTGTTCCATGATTTATGTTGCAATGCTAAGTGAATAACCTACGTTAACTTTACTAGGTTATCTAACTGGGGTTTAGGCTGGGCGTGGTGGCTCATGCCTGTAATCCCAGCACTTTGGGAGGCCAAAGCGGGCAGATCACCTGAGGTCAGAAGTTCGAGACCAGCCTGGCCAACATGGTGAAACCTTGTCTTACTAAAAATACAAGAATTAGCTGGGTGTAAAGTTGCACACCTGTAATTTCAGCTATTCGGGAGACTAAGGCACAAGAATTGCTTGAACTGGGAGGCAGAGGTTGCAGCGAAACAAGATTGTGCCACTGCACTCCAGCCTGGGCAACAGAGTGAGACTCTGTCTCAAAAAATAATAATAAAATAAATGGGGTTCAGATTGTAATTTCTTGAATCAAAGTTAACAGTATGATAAAACAAAAATGCCAGTTGAGTGTCTTCATTTCTTACAGTGCTGGTGTGGGCAGGACAGGCACCTATATTGTTATAGACAGCATGCTGCAACAGATAAAAGACAAAAGCACAGTTAATGTCCTGGGATTCCTGAAGCATATCAGGACACAGCGTAACTACCTCGTCCAGACTGAGGTAAGGGACAGTTGCCAGTGTCCTCATGAGATTGTGACACACGCTTTAACTGAAAGGTAAATGATAGTGAAGAGACAGATTGATTCTTTTAGGGCTTGCGGGAATTTACAGATTTGTAGTAGTAGATATTCTGACTGTGATACTATTTTGTGGATCACAGTTTTACATTTCTGTATGGATCTTAACATTTGGATTCCTAAATAACTATACCAGCACTTATGAAGCAGATACAGTTGTTTGAAGAGCTGTGTTAGATGGTAGGGGGAGTTAAACATGTTGTCTGGCCTGAGAAACACATAGGAGAGGATGGTTCTAAAACCCATCATTGAACACAGTACAGAAATGGAGCTAAACTTAACACAGTCAAATAAGTTCGGATTGATGAGAAAGTCGAGTATTGGAACAAATCACCTAGCTGTAAGTGCGTGAAGGAATTCACTGGGAGGTCCCTGTCAGGGGCAGAATTAAACTAAGGTAGACTTCATGAATGAGTGGCTAACCCTTAACACTCTCTGAGTGACTACCATATATTGTACCTCTTAGGAGCAGTACATTTTCATCCATGATGCCTTGTTGGAAGCCATTCTTGGAAAGGAGACTGAAGTATCTTCAAATCAGCTGCACAGCTATGTTAACAGCATCCTTATACCAGGAGTAGGAGGAAAGACACGACTGGAAAAGCAATTCAAGGTAGTGTGCTTTGAATAAGTTTTTTTGGCATAAAGCAAAAAAAGTGTTTAAATGCCTTGAGTTTGGAGGTTATGTCTTCTTTGCACTAATGTCTACGTGTCTGCAGTGAAATAGATTTGTACTCCCTGTATGCCTGAAATGTAATGAAAAAGAAAATATGGTTTTGACCTATGTATGAATCGTTGGTATTCAAGTTGATAGTACAGTGTTATATTTTTTTCTGAGCAATTTATGACTTTATCTGAATATAAACATCAGCCCCTCACCATAATGACATAGTACTTTAAAGTTACTCATTCAGTCCAAAAAATAGCCTATATTTTTTCTGAACTAATCTATCTTACCTTAATTATTAAGAATGATTACTTGGCTGGGCACAGTGGCTCATGCCTGTAATCCCAGCACTTTGGGAGGCCGAGGTGGGCGGATCATGAGGTCAAGAGATCGGGACCATCCTGGTGAAACCCGTCTCTATTAAAAAATACAAAAATTAGCTGGGCATGGTGGCGCTTGCCTGTAAGCCCAGCTACTCAGGAGGCTGAGGCAGGAGAATCACTTGAACCCAGGAGGTGGAGGCAGCAGTGAGCCGAGATTGCACCACTGTACTCCAGCCTGGTGACAGAGCAAGACTCTGTCTTAAAAAAATAAATAAATAAATAAAAATGATTACCTGTAGATATATTGTCCTAAAAATATGCTTATTTCAAAAACTATTCCAAAAGATAATTTAGAAATTAAAAAAGAATTACTAAATAATATTAGAGAAAGGTAACTTTCCTAAATGGTTTTGATTGTACCTCTCTTCTTTGATAGTGACATGAAGAAGCTTAAAAGCAGTTAAAAGGCCAGGCGAGGTGGCTGGCGCCTGTAATCCCAGCACTTTGGGAGGCCAAGGCGGGTGGATCATGAGGTCAGGAGATGGAGACCATCCTGGCTATCACAGTGAAACCCCGTCTCTACTAACAATAATAATAATAAAAAACTAGCCAGGTGTGGTGGCAGGACTGTTGTCCCAGTTACTTGGGAGGCTGAGGCAGGAGAATTGCTTGAACCCAGGAGGTGAAGGTTGCAGTGAGCCAAGATCATGCCTCCGTACTCCAGCCTGGGCAACAGAGCCGAGATTCCGTCTCAAAAAAAAAAAAAAAAAAAAAAGGCGCCGGGCGCAGTGGCTCAAGCCTGTAATCCCAGCACTTTGGGAGGCCGACGCAGGTGGATCACGAGGTCGAGAGATGGAGACCATCCTGGTCAACATGGTGAAACCCCGTCTCTACTAAAAATACAAAAAATTAGCTGGGCATGGTGGCTCGTGCCTGTAATCCCACCTACTCAGGAGGCTGAGGCAGGAGAATTGCCTGAACCCAGGAGGCGGAGGTTGCGGTGAGCCGAGATCACGCCATTGCACTCCAGCCTGGGTAACAAGAGCGAAACTCCGTCTCAAAAAAAAAAAAAAAAAAAAAAGGCAGTTAAGGTTTATGTGGAATTGACTAAAGTGAAGGTGAAAAAGAGAGTTTATAAGTACTATTAAAATAATTAAGACTCTGTCATCTGAGAATACATCAAAATTGCTTCTAACTTGCAAATACTGCCTGTCTCTCCAGTTACCAAGTGCTTTCCTATTTATCTTTTAAATTTTATTTTGCACATTGTTCTATATGTAAATAGTTTATCCCTTTGTATCAGGATTCAAAGAATGAGATGACTCTACAGTATTAAGTTTTCATGGTAAAACTTTCCATTGACTCTGAAACTGTGATTTGAATCTCAGCTGAAGAAGTGAGACTGTCAAGCAAATTATACCAAGTGATGTGAAATGAAAAATAGTTTAGTTTCACTGAGTTCAATCATAAAGGTCATTTTAAATTTTTAGGTCATTTAAAATTCTAACTACCATAAAACTATAAGGTAATTAATAGTGAGAACTCAGTGTATCATTTTAAATGTTTAACATGAGTTCTTACAAAATATTAAGTACCAACATTACTTAAATTCTGTCTTTTTCATTTCTGTAATATTTGTTTACACATACTTTAAAAATTAATGGAAGAAATGTGACACAGGCACTAACCATTTTGGAGCTCAAGATGAAGAAAAAAACAAGAATCAGAAACTTGAAAATGAAAATTATATCCACGGACCATGAGTTTTACTAAAGCATCTACAGAAGAATACTGATCTTATATATTCCATTAATATCGATGCCAGACCCCGCCTCCCCCCCAAAAATAGGATTGACAAAATGGTTCGCCCAATCTACATTAACAGGAATAATAACCAAACTACTAGGCTGGTTATTATAACAGCCTCAGAATAATGTTAGTTTAGTTCAACAGAAATGTACTGAGAACTAAGTAAGTATTCCTTTATCTTCAAGAAACATGATTAGCTCATAATCAATAGCATTAAACCATCTTTTTAAATGTAGACTTACTTGGTCTTTTGTGCAATGAGGAATCACAGAAAAAAATTCATAACAGAAAAATCCACATAGTTCTATAAATAGTATTGCACATGGTACCTGTTTAGGGCCTAATAGTAGAAATAAGAAAGATACAATCCATCAAAGTTACTGAGAGAAGTACCCCTAGGGAAGGCTGAGTGTAGTAGATTACACCTGTAATCCTAGCTCTTGTAATCCCAGAGCAGCCTGGGCAACATAGGAATACCCCAATTCTATAAACAATTTTAATAATTAGCTGGTTGTGGTGACAGCACACCTGTGGTCCTAGCTACTCAGGAGGCTGAGGTGGGAGGAACACACTTCGAGTGAGCTGCAGTCATGCCACTGCACTCCAGCCTGGGCAAGCAAGCAAGACCCTGTGTCTTCAAAGGTTCTTTGTGGCACAAAAATGGTCTTAAATGTTTATCAGTAATCTGATGATTGGGATTTTTGCCAAAGTGTCAAGCAGATGCTATTAGTTTTATCTCTGAATGAAGACTAAAATGTTGTTTTCTTTTTCAGCTGGTCACACAATGCAATGCAAAATATGTGGAATGTTTTAGTGCTCAGAAAGAGTGTAACAAAGAAAAGAACAGAAACTCTTCAGTTGTGCCATGTAAGACCTTAAAAATCAGTTAGTGATCTTTTAAACTGGATTGTATGTATTAAGTACAGAGGCAACTACTACTCTGATCGTATTGATAGCACCCTTTAATTGTACTGTATTTGGCTGTGTGGTAGAAGGTTTTGAAAATGTCCTTTTAGTAACCTCATTAATATATGACTTTACACCAGCCTCTTACCTGGTACTACCGAAAGGGAAAATGTTACGCTCATTCAACTAAGGAAGTTTGATGAAACTGGGAGAGGTGGCTGTCAGAGTCAGCAAGTTGCTCCATCTATCTGATGTAGAATATAGCTTTATTTCACCTTGGAATGCAAGAATAGGGTCACTTCTAACATATTATAACATAAAACAATAATTAAGCTGTTATAGCTGTGGCATTAACATTCCTTTAAAAATTGGATTAATCTTACAACTGGAATGATATTATTCAGTTACTGTGGCTGTGGAGATCAAAGTGTTGTTGATTGGTGGTGACCTTTGTGTAAATGACTCAGGACACAGCAGAAGATACTGTCTGTGTGCTGTAGATGTACACATAAGGGATCACTGGGGAGATTTATCGCTAATGAAAAAGACCACTCTTTTCTAAGCCTATCATGAACAGAAAGACATGGAGAAGGGGTTGGGGGGCGGGCGGGGGGCAAAGTATATGTTGGTGTTGGTTTAATTGTAGGAATAACAAACTAGAGTCAAAAGTTACCTGAAACCTTCTGTTGTGTCCATATAGAGTATTCTTTTATTGATCTGCTGTAAAAAATTTCTCCCCCAGTAAAACTGTATTCCTACAATGCCTGTGTCCTTCCGTGTATGTGCAGCATAATTTCATTTTACATTCTGCCTCAGCTGGTAACAGTTTAGCTTGTTTAAAAATATAGGTAAGTCTTAGAAAGGGAAGCCAGGAGAGTATGTTATTCATCAAGCAAATCTCAGAAAGAGCTGTTGGTTCTCTGTGTATAATAAGGCAAATGTGGTGTTTTTGTTTTTTCCATATGATAGCTGAGCGTGCTCGAGTGGGTCTTGCACCATTGCCTGGAATGAAAGGAACAGATTACATTAATGCTTCTTATATCATGGTGAGAGTCAACAGTTAATTATAAATAAAGTCAATTAAACTGAAAGGTGTTAAAGAGCAGATACCACCTGTGTGACTGATTTCATTTTTGAAATAATTTCTCACTGTGTGATATGGAAAGTGTAGAGATTTCTGTATCTTGGAACTTCCATCAAAAGAAACCTAATCAGTGGGGGTACAAAAATGCTTAAATTAAGCAAAATGCTTCTTAAGGAATCAATTTTATTGTTAATTTCATACATCTAGTCTTTGAATAAATGTTGAAATTTCTGTTAAGTGAAAACAGCAGGGGTAACTAGACATGGAGAGAAAATTGTCTGCACAATGCTAGCAGAAGTACATCTAAAAATTAGCCAAATGTACTGAATGCCTTTCTCAATTATTTTAGCATAGTCAAAACAACGCTATCTTATTTCATGAATATATTTTACTGCTACAAAGTTAGGATAAAACACTCATATTCACTGACTTTTTTTGTCTTCCCAACTGAAGGGCTATTATAGGAGCAATGAATTTATTATAACTCAGCATCCTCTGCCACATACTACGAAAGATTTCTGGCGAATGATTTGGGATCATAACGCACAGATCATTGTCATGCTGCCAGACAACCAGAGCTTGGTAAGTAAAGCACATCTGCTATATATTAATGAGCCCATGAGGCTACAAGCATAAATTACTTTGATACTTTGCCATAGAGCTATAGTATCCATACATGCTAAGGAGAGAATTTAAAATTCTCATCTTGAAGTCTATAGAGATTCCTTCCATAGTCTCACAATACTGTCCCTATCGGTTCCATCACTTGATTCTCTGATGCTATTCATATCACCTTTCAATTGTACTGTCTGTGGCTGTGTGGCAGAAGGATTTGAAAATGTCCTTTTAGTAACCTCATTAATATATGACTTTAAATCAACATCTTACCTGCTGTATGTCACTTTTGAAAAGTAATAAATGTAGCTTACAGGTACTGGGTATGCAACTATGTTTACATGCATTAACCTGTTTAATCCTCAACAATTTTAAGACGTAGGTGCTATTATTTTCTCATGTAATAGCTAAGAAAACTGAGGGAACAAACTTGCTCAAAAGCACACATAAGTATTTTGAGCCAGGATTTCAACCTGAGTCATGTGTCGCCAGGACTGTGCTTTTAATAATCGTACTGTATGTCCTACCCCCAAAATTTGTATCAAAAGTACTAACAATGTATCTTTTCCTCTTAAGTAGGTAAGTCAGATTTCCTGTAGGGATAGCTATCTTGCTCCAACTTAAAGGTCTTTAAGACTAAGCTGCTACTACTTTGCCTTCCCTTAGTCCTCCATTTCAGTTTCTATACAGAAGGGTGAGCAAGTTTATATAACAGACTTAAATGTTTCTTCTTAGATCTTCTGGATACTTAAGTTACAGAATTAGCTGAGTCTGCAAAAGTTACTATGTGGACATGTGAGCCCATAAGGTAAAAACAAAAACAGTGAGGATCTGCCTTTATGATAGTCAGATTAATGAGTTTTTTAATCCAGGAAGAACAGCATGTGACTGAACCCCCAGTCTTGGTGACATGCATTTGACTGTGTGCCCAGTCAGTAGGAACTTCTTCACTTTGTCGCATTTTGCTCCAGCTTCAGGATACCAAGACTGCTTCTGTATGATGGAATGGCAACAAAGTTGAGAATCTTAAACTAAAAGCTGGAGTATAAATTTTCAAATTAGCTAGCAGTAAGGTCTATTCTGTTTGGCATGTGGAAATTGGAGGCACTTAGGGTTGTTAAAACGTTCATTTGTTGGATGAATCAGTATGTTGTTATTGTCACTTAACAAAGGGCAATCACCATAAAGTGTCTACCCAGCAGCTCATTTGTATGTGGAAGCTGCTGGACCAAATAAGTGGATACGTGTTCTGCAGACACTGAGGATATACAAACATGCCATCTCAGTGTCTGTCTGAGGCCTTGGAAGGCTAGATTGGAATCATATACAACTGACCTCTCAGTTCTGAGATGGAAAGTTTCATCACTGCAGAGTGTTTCCTAAACATTGATATCTCTGAGTTCTTTTTGTTTGTTGTATTATTGCTGCTATTCCAGGTCATAATTCTGTAAGGAGCCCAAAAGTCACTGGTTCCTAACACACAAAATACTGATGTAGATGCTCAGATATCTTTGATCTATAAATATACTTGTTATTTTTCTTAGACTTTCAAGAGAAACCATTTTTCTACCTTTCTTCTACCATAATTCAAATCCCTTTGGTAGCCTTTAAGCTCATTAATTTACTATTCATCTTATGATGATAGTATTTCTTTAAGGTAAGTAGTTTTTATTCCCACTTTTCAGATATGGAAATTAAGGCTCAGGTTAATTTACCTGGGATCACATCCACTCATGAATCCTATGCTTAATCTGTGCGTATTTGTTGCATTTAGATGTCCTGTTCATTACCTTCTGTGTTTGATATCTGTGTCCTTGGACAAAACCTATTAAAACCCACGACAGTTACAGACTTATTTTGTATAGACTAAACCCAATTGCTAATCTGTCTCCCCTTATGCTTAGCTTTAAAAATAAAAATGTACTTGGCAATAAGCTATATCGAAACTTGAAAGGGTGATAAGTCTTATTGGACTGTTGGCTCATTTCTAATGCAACAATGTAAGATTAAACAAAGCCTTCTTTGTTTTGAACATTATTCAGAATTATTTCTGACTTCAATGATAGTAGCGAGGCATCTTCAGGAAAATGCCCAAAGAAACGTATCTACTACAGGAGAACTACGGTTTGCCATTTAAGCCAATTAGAAAACAGGGGTATACATCATAGTCATATTTCTCACAGTCTCCAACCTGTGCAACAATTAACTTTCTCTTAGGCATCCATAGTTTTTAGGGATAGAATTCAAGTACCAAGTCTGCATATCTATTTTTAATCGTAAAATGGATGAACATTTAAAGCTTGCCTGATTCAAGGCTGAAAGACTTTCTGTGTTATCCCCTCTTGAAATATAACATTGACAGATTTACTTTTCTTTTAAAGACTGTCTTGTACATACAGCCAACCTACTTATTCACACACAATCTTCCAAAAAAGTTCTATCCCTTACCATTTATTAGCGGTGTGATTTTAGATAATTTATGGACCCCCCCCCCCAAAACCTTTATGTCCTCATCTGTAAAGACAGATGATAATCTCCTCAGGGTTAATATACAAAATTTGTACAGAACTCATACAACTCAATAATAGAATCATGAAGTACCTGATACAAAGATGGCCAATAGGTATATGAAAAGGTGCTCAACTTCATTAATTTTCAGGAAAATGCAAATCAAAATACCTCACATCCATTAGGATAGCTATTCAGAAAAATCAAAAGATACCAAATGCTAGCAAGGTTAATAAAGAAAAGAAAACTCTCATACACTGTTGATGGGAATGCAGATTGGTAGAGCCAAGACAGGAAACTGTTTGGAGGTTTGTAAATTAAAAATAGAACTACCCTAAGACCCAGCAGTCCTTCTTGTGGTCAGATATCCAGAGAAAATGGAATCAAGATATTTGCACTCCCCTATTCACCGCAACATTATTAGCAACAGCCAAGATATGAAAACAACCGAAGTTTCCATCAGTGTATCAATGGATAAAGAAATTGTGGGGTGGGGAGGAAATGGGTAGATGTAAAATAAATCAAGAGGATACAAAACAACAGAGGAGGAAGAACAAGTTTACAGATCTCATGTCTAACATGAGGATTACAGGTAATAAAATTGCACTGTATTTGGGATTCATAGCAATATGAGTACATTTTAGCTGTTCCTGCCACAAAAGCAAAAGTGAGATGATGGGTATGTTAATTTGTCCTAGCTATAGTTACCTTTTTACTATCTATATGTATCCCACATCATCATACTAAAAATATACAAGAAAACTTAAAAGTCTCTTGTCTTACTAGAATAATGTAAAAATTAAGTAAGATCATGTTTATGAAAGTCCTTTGTTATTAACATAATCCATAGGAAATAATTAGCATGTCTTGATTGCTTAAGCAATTGTGAAATTAAAAAATTAATTGGCCTAGATCCTGCTTCCTTTTTCACTATGTCAGTTATATTAAAGAACACTTCTCAACTGGGGTAATAAGTCCCCTATAGAGGGATTGTTTTAGATTGCTACAGTAACAGATGAGAGGTGCTAGGAAACTATCAAAATACATTTTGCAATAGAATACAATAACAAGTGAAGTTGGTGTGAGTAGATGGGAACACATAATTCTATCAACTCAGTTTAAAAGATGGCTTGAGAGGTATGGGGAATGACAATCAGTATGCAAGAAATAAAAAACAAATGTTTGACAGAACTGCAGAGGCTTTTTTTTTTTTTTGGTTCCCAAAGGCGGAAGATGAGTTTGTGTACTGGCCAAGTCGAGAAGAATCCATGAACTGTGAGGCCTTTACCGTCACCCTTATCAGCAAAGACAGACTGTGCCTCTCTAATGAAGAACAAATAATCATCCATGACTTTATCCTTGAAGCGACACAGGTAACCTAAACCTCAGTTCCTCACTAACAGCCGTACCTGTGCCCTGGATCATCATTCTAAGTAATAATGAAGTAATTTACCACCCTCAAGCCACGCTCAGGCATTTGAGTAAGACTTAATTTTAAATATGTACATTTTCCTTTTTACTTCCTTCAAATATTTGCTTTTTCCAGCTGGCTAGATGAAATGTAACGGTTCCTCTGATTCAGCATGCATACAAATAGTTCTGTTGACCTAATTATAAAACCAATATACTAGAGCTCCATATTTTCTTTGCCATCAGAAATGTAAGCCTTGCAATGTGTTGCAAAGATGATAATACTAAGTTTTTTTGAGCTCCTTACCCCTTCCTTGTTTTGCTTTAATTTTATAAATAAGAAAATAGAGTAGGCTATAAGGTCTTTAATAATTTCTTGTCACTTGAAATTTTTGACTAAACCAAATGAATTTGTTTTACTGGCATGCCCTACTTGGTTTTTTGTTTGTTTTGAGACAGGGTCTTACCCACAGTGGCATGATCAAAGCTCAGTGTAACCCCAAACTCCTGGGCTCAAGTAATCCTTTCACAACAGCGTTCTGAGTAGCAGACTCCAAGCATGTGGTACGTCCCTGGTTAATTTTTTTTTTTTTTTTTAATTTTTTAGAGACAGAGGTCTCCCTCTGTTGCCCAGGCAGGTCTTGAACTCCTGGCCTCAAGCAATCCTCCTGCCTTGGCCCCCCAAAGTTCTGGAATTACAGGCATGAACCACTATGTCCAGCCATGCTTGTTTTTGTTTGTTTTAAGGCAAGCAGACCTCCCTGGTATTTTTCTTCTTACCAGCTGCGGTTTGGTTAACTTGACATTGTTGAGAGTTACCTGTACCACATGCTTTCTCAGGAGCAAGTTCTAGTCATTAGATTGTAGACATGTGAAATAAAGGAAGGGATTTGACTCATGTTGTATTGGTTACAGGATGACTATGTTCTAGAAGTTCGGCACTTTCAGTGTCCCAAATGGCCTAACCCAGATGCCCCCATAAGTAGTACCTTTGAACTTATCAACGTCATCAAGGAAGAGGCCTTAACAAGGGATGGTCCCACCATTGTTCATGATGAGTATGTATCTGTTTCTTAATTTTAATATGTAAACAGTTTTTTTGTTTTTGTTGAATGTCTTGGTGAAAATGAAGCCAGAATTTTAAAACCTATCCCCAGCCTCAGCTTGTGACAACTCTGTATTACTTCTAATCTGGACAGGAACAAAGTGTTACTGCTCTGTTTACATTTTAATATGTCAAACTCTTCCAAGACTTCAGGTTCTTCTAGAGTAAATGTTCTAGAAAGGGGAAAGTATTGTATCTTAGCCAACAAAACTAGACCTGCATGCATTTAGAGGTTTTATGTCTTAGTAACAAATAAGTAGTAACTGTTTCCATTAATTAAATACTTTAAAAAAATCCTTACACTGAATTTCAAATACTTGTTAGGGAAATAATAACCTTTTAAGAGATGATTTAGTTGATCAGCAGGATAAAGCTACTAGAATTAATGATAATATTTAAAGTTCATGATGTGTTTTAAAGTCTACAGTACTGTCCTTTGGGATTTAAAGAGAAAGAATACGAATCTCAAAGAGAAAAATTACTTGCCCCCAGTCTCGGAGCTTCTAAGTGTCAGAACGGCATCCCAACCCAGCACCTTTGTACTTTATTAAGAAGGAAAGGGTCATAGATATATCTTATTGTATATGGATATTTGGAGCCAGACTTCATGGCTGGAATCAGCCTGTAAGTCAGTTGTGTAATTGAATCATTTCAAATCTCACAAACCTTTAGCCAATATGGAATCAATCATACATGCCCATTTTTATTTTAGTTCCAAGGTAGCTCTTGGTCAGCAGTATCCACTATGTCCATTAAATTACCGACTACCCAAGTAACGTAAAGTATTAATAAATGTGCAAGTGAAGCTTATTGTGAAGCCTTTTTGCCCTTGCACTAATGCTATAACATGAAGTACACAAGGGCTCAGCACCTTCACCTCAAAACATAGTACTCTTCTATTTGAAGTAATGTGTACTAGCTGCTTCCAAAAAATTTTATACTCTTTCAAAATGTTGTCCTGATTCTTAATTAGTAAGATGAAAAATTAAGATTTGAAAAGCATTACAGTTGAAACATTAATGAAATAGCACACTAAGTAAGATCACTGGAAATGTGACAACTACCACCAGTGTTTAAATAGCACGGCCAGCCTCAAAATAACTGGAGACTTGCTACTGAACTATGAAACTTTGTGGTATGCAGTTAAAACATGAAGTCAGGGCATTTGCTACAATTCTGCTGGGTTTTACTAGCCCTTATCATCTCTTTTCATTAAATTCTAATGTTACTGCCCAGTTACATGACTGGTTTTGCTGTTACGGTAGTATTCCGAGGTATTGTCCTGAAATCAGTAATGCACCTAATCTTGTATTTTAGAGTAACGAAGAGAGGAAAAGAAAAACCACCGTCAGTTAAATACCAAACAGAAGTGTTCAATTCACTTATATAGATTCAACTTTTGAGTATATTTTTCTTATTCCGTGATTTTTATGCCACATGCTGAATATAAACCACCTCAGAAATTAATCAGATGTAGCTCATTCTTAGGCTTATAAACAGAAAGCAAATTCATCCTAAACCAGTGGATCTGCAAATATCATAAAGGTGAGCTGCCTTAAAAGCCACCAGTAGAAATGTATTAATTCATTTATCTACTATCTGTGGAGATAAGTTAATTAATTCTATTGAAATTATTTTTCCACACTACTGAAGAGCAACTTTAAAATTTTTAAAGGTACTAGCTCTAGTGTAATACTCTCAACACCAGCTCCTTTTCCATCTTACCTACTTTTTGTACCTCTAAACATCACTTCCAGAGAGCCTACAAACACCTCAAGTTCAGTATAGCTACAACCAAACTCATCTTCCCTGCCTGCCCCTAATCAACCTGGTTGTACAGACTTCAAACATATCAGAGTTCTTCTTGAGTCTCCCTCATCTCCACATCTAACTGGCCACCAAGTCTGGTTGGTGCTATCCATTCCTTTAATAGACTTTTCCAAATATTTTACAATCTGGTGTAAGTTTCCATTTTCAGCCTCCTCGCAGTCTGCCACTGAAGTCCTGCTTCCTGCATACCACCTTGCCCCTGCAAATGCTCTCCACTATGTACCCTTTCACTCAACACACAGGTCAAAAGTTACTCTCTCAGACAATCTCTAACTCATCCCAGAGGTGCTAAGCAAAATCATTAACATCACGTCCTTACCAATGCATACCAGCTAAATGTCATTCCTGCTTATAATGTCACACCATAATTGTGTACGTGACTTTCACTTTGCTGAGGCCAGCAATGGTAGTTTATTCACCCCAGTCTCCATAGAGTGAAACCCAACGCCTGGGACAGAGTGGGTGCTGGATAAGTATTTGCATGAATGGGTATGGGTTTTAAATTGTGATGACTTACAAACTATCAAGCATATGTACCCCTACAAATTGTCCTCAGGAAGCCTTACTTTTTGTCTCATTTATTGTTCAAAGTCATTTTGGCTGCTTAAATTTTTCTTTTCGTAGTGATTTGAAGCTCTATCGAAAGCAGGAGTGAACAGGCTTAGAGAAAAGGCCTGCATGCATGTGGTATGTGAGGCAAAGAGTTGAACTTTTAGTGTACAAACACCGTGACATCTATTTCGTCTTCATAGAGATCTTTTTAACACCTACTTTTGGGGGTGGCAGCAGGGTGGGGGAGGGGGGTTCTCAGGTATGTCCCAAGGGGATGACATTTCTAGATAAGTGAGCTAAGAATAAAATTAAATGAAAAAGTAAACTGCTTCTATTTGAGGACAGGCACAGCTTAAAGGCAAACTGCTTCATTCTCAGCATTCTATAGTCATCTGTTCAAGATTATTCTGCTCAGAGGCTGATCTGCATCATTACTGTCAAATTTTAAAAATAGCCTATGTTCCCACAGAAGTTTAGAACATAAGCATGGTTCCCACAAAGTCTTACAAGACAGCTGTAGATCAGACCTCACCCAAATTACTCCATTTACTCATAGACTGAAGACGACTTTTCAGTGCAAATATTTAATTACTCACTCTGGAGATATATCTATTACCCTTTGGATAGCATAATGATATAAAAATACTACCTACCTTATTCACACCCATTCTGTCATGAGTGGACACTAAATGAAAGTTCTCCAGAGGTACATGACTTGTGATAACATCACTTTCAGTGCTAATATTTTCTCAGTTTTAATTTCTAAGATAGTAAATATTGACATACACAGCCCAAATAATCTCTTTGGAGGTCCTCAATAATTTTTTATTTTAATTTGGCCCTGAGATCAAAGAGTCTGAAAACTGCTGAGATACTCTGTAAGAGACACAAAAAAATATATGGACTATAGTATAGCAAAGGCTAAATCATAACTAAGTCCAGTATTTTCCTTTTACTGTGAGCCTTATGGAAAGCTTTTGTGTTGCCATTCTTCCCCAAGACTGACCCTTCTTCAAGCTTCAATGTTTTGTTTTCCTTTCTGCCCCACTGATTTCAAAGGTATGCCACATTTCTTCACAGTGTCAGGGTTATAACTCAAGATTGCAATCTTGGATATGATTTTTTTAAGTCTTAAAAGCTATAATAATTATAAGTAAATGTATGAAATAGAGAAAAACGGTTAAATGCCCACAGGTAGTATACTGACTATTCAGGCAACCACAGTGTGTTTTAAAATGAATACAGACAGAGCATCTAACAATACCATACATCAGGAACTTAAAGTACTTTCTTTTGCAATGTCTTTGAAGTAAAGGCAGGGAAAGATGAAAAAATCAGGTTTTTTTCTTAACGCCACTACTTAAATAACCATTACTTTTAATGGAGCCTTTAGAGGAAGTGGCAAACAAAATATCAAACCCAGTGAATTTATATACTACTCTGATTTTATCTAGGTTATAGATTACTTGTATCACTTTTGCACCAAGTCCCTGTCGTTTTAAATGCAGATTCATGAAACTACTCAATGAACATCCTTTAATCCCACTTATTTCCTAAACTTCTCAAAGAGAATGGCCTTTATTTTTTGTTTCTGCTCTGTCATCACGTTTGGTATGCAGAAGATACTTAAAAGTATCTGTGCATTTGATTGATTTGACTTACTAGATTCTTGTCATATTGAAGCCATTTTGCATAGGCAATTTTTACTTGAACTGCTTATTTAAGCATGGCTAAATACAGGAAAGGGGAGACCCACATGAAGTGCATGGTGTGTAACAAAGATACATGTTATCTGACTTTTCTATCTGACTGGCCACAGATAGCTTTGAAAAAGTTAAGAAAAAAGGGGAGATCTTAAGAGTAACTATTTCACTAGAACAGATTTTAAAATGTTAAATTCTTCCCCTCCTGAACAAAATCAGTACAAATAATTTTTTTAAACGCTATGCTAAAATGAGGTCAACTCAGTACAGTTTAGAATCTGAGGAGACAACATGCTGAACAAGAACCAAAAAGCACAATAAATCAGTTAATGGAACAATCATAGTAGGGTATTAAAATGTGCGCTCAGAGGTCTAACGGAAGATTTCATGAAATTAATCGAGAACATTTATTATGAAACAGGAATAAATTAGGCCTAAGAATGAAAAAATATATATATATATATATATTTTTAAATTGCATTTTAGGTTTTGGGGTACATGTGAAGAACATGCAAGATTGTTGCATAGGTACACACGTGGCAGTGTGATTTGCTGCCTTCCACCCCCTCACCTATATCTGGCATTTCTTCTCATGCCATCCCCCTGAAAAAATATATTAACTCATGAAACTAAAAACTTAAAAGATCAGATACTAGTGGAGTATCTCAGAACTGAAATAAAACTAAAATATGGAAGCCAGATACAGAAGTTCTATCATATATCTAAGAAGTGATCCATGGGGCAATAAAAGACAGCTTAAAGAGGAAGACATAACAGCTGAGGTTTTCTAAAAACAGAATCAAGTATTGTTTGTAAACTGAGTGACCAGGATACATCTGATCAGCAGCAGAGAGAAGATTTGAATGCCACAATTAACAAGCCTTATTTAATAGTGATATAGAGAAGTTTGCAACCAAGAAAGACTGTATAGAGAGACCTGGATTCTCTTCAAACACAAATGGTTTATCTATATACATTCCCCACAAACAGATACAAGGCCACATTCATTGATTACAACCCACTTATATTAGAAATGAACAGTGAAAAAAGATCCCAAATCCTTATACCTAGAAACTGAAATCCTTACATCTAGGATTGCTTATAAATAATTCATGGATTGAAGATGTAACCAAAATAGACATTGCAAAATACTTAAAAATGATGATGAAGGCACTGCATTTCAAAACCTGGTGGAATGGAGCCAAACTGTAGTACTTAGAGGAAAAAAATATATAGCCTGTGTAAACTATACATATTTGAAAAGTTAAACAGAGTAAGCATTCAACTCAAGCCAGAAAAAGCACCAGGTAAATCAACAAAAAGTGCAAGGAATTACAAGCAAATGGTAATGAAAATGGGGGCTGGAAGGCAATAGTAAAATTTAAGCAATAGATAGTCTAATACAAGATACAGTTTTGGAAATATGATAAAGGAAAAAAGTCTACCGTTTATCTGTACCTACATTAAAAACATTCAAGAGTTGGCCTGGTGTGGTGGCTTAGGCCTATAATCCTAGCACTTTGGGAGGCCAAGGCAGGCAGATCACAAGGTCAGGAGTTCAAGACCAGCCTGGCCAACAAGATGAAAACCTATTGCTACTAAAAATACAACAATTATCTGGGCATGGTGGTGGGCGCCTGCAATCCCAGCTACTCAGGAGGCTGAGGTAGGAGAACCGTTTGAACCCAGGAGGTAAAGGTTCCAGTGAACCGAGATCACGCCATTGCACTCCAACCTGGGCAACAGTGTGAGACTCTGTCTCAAAAAAAAAAAAAAAAAAAGAATCCAAGAGTTGTTAATTTGCTTAGGTGTGATAGTGTTTTTTCAGTGCTTATCTTTTAGAGTTTTATAATAAATTCTGACTAAAATACCTGAGATTTGCTTAAAACTATATTGAGGAAGAAACAGAAATGAAACAAGAATGGCCATGAGCTGTTGAACATTGTAACTGAATAATGACTACATGAAGGTTACTGTACTATTATTACACTTTGGTGTCTGTTTAACATTTCCTATAATAAAAAGTTAAAATAATAGATACTTTAAAAGAAATAAAATAAGCATTTAAGACTTTATAACTCTATACTAATAAATGTTTAAGCCTAGAAATAAGCATAGTAAAATAACATTTAGTGAACACATGGTATGTGGTGTGTGCCAGTCTCTGTTCTGAGCCATTTACATGTATCAGCTCAATTTTAAGCTCCAGTCTCACTGTGCAATCTTGGCCAGTTACTTCACCTGAATGTGACTTACGTATTCAACCTCAAATGGAGATAATACCAGTACCCATACCATAGGATTACTGTGAGGATTAAGTCAGTACATGTAAATACCTAGAAGAGAACCTGGCACATAAAGCACAACATACATTAGTGATCAGTAAGAAATGAATAAAAGAAAGAGTTTTCCACCTGTTAGGTCCTGACCAAGGCTGCATTTGAACAACAATATACAGAAGATTTAATGCAGCATTGATTTAAACAAACAAAGCTTAATGGAAAAGTATAGGCCAGGCTTACGTATTTGAACACCAATATAAAAACGTCAGTAAAATGCTAATAAAACCCAGTATGTTATATTAAAAGAATTACATATCCTTAAACACCCTGGTAACGAAGAGCTGGTGTTAAGCTTTTGATATATTACCAAAAGTTTATCAGTAAATTCAGGACATTTTTAGAGACATTTCAAAAAAAAAAAAATTACAATAGACACTGAAAAGCATGCAATAAAATGACATCCGTTCATGACCCCCCAACAAAAAAACACCACTTAGCAGAGTAAAAATAGAAAGCATCCTCTTTACCTTTATAATTGTTATTTACCAGATGCATATTAGCAAACATTGTAATTTAATATTAAAAACTTAGAAGCTCAGCCATTTAAGGCACACGATACTTGCTCTCAGTGCTAGTACCTAAGCCTATGTAGGTTCTAGCCAACAAAGTAAAAGGAGAATGATAGACTGGATAAAGACAATGTGGCACATACACACCATGGAATATTATGCAGCCATAAAAAAGGATGAGTTCATGTCCTTTGCAGGGACAGGGATGAAGCTGGAAACCATCATTCTCAGCAAACTGACACAAAAACAGAAAATGCAACACCGCATATTCTCACTCATAAGTGGGTATTGAACAATGAGAACACATGGACACAGGGAGGGGATCATCACACACTGGGGCCTGTTGGGGGGTGGGAGAGCTAGGAGAGGGATACCAGGCAGTAGAGGGGCTGGGAAGGGGTATCATTAGGAGAAATACCTAATGTAAATCACAGGAGGACAGATAGAGCAAACCACCATGGCATGTGTATACCTATATAACAGTCCTGCATAATCTACATATGTACCCTAGAACTCAAAGTATAACAACAACAACAAAAAAAGACCGTTTTTTTAAAAAAGCAGAAGATAGAAGAAGCATAAAAGTTGAAAAGAGGGACAATTCACATTATCGGCAGATAAAGATGTGGTCAACTACCTAGGAGAATCCACAAACTATTAAAACTTAAGCAGGGTTCTTCTGTGTGACTGGGGATTTCACCATGTGAAAATCAGTAACTTTCCTATACATGAAGTGAAATTAAACAGACAATCTTGTCACAAAAGGAGGCCATTAATAGGAGTAACAAACTCTAAAGTACCTAAAAATCAACCAAAAATGAAATTGGCAAAGACTATGAAGAAAAATATAAAACCTAGTTAAAAGCTATAAAAGATCTGAATAAATGGAGAAAAGATATCATGTTGATGAAAAGAAAAACTCAAGACTGAAAGATGATAATTTCCTCAGATCCATCAATGCAACCTAATCAAAATCCCAACAAAAATGTGTTCCTTAATAATCTGTATTCCTTAACAATCTGGTTTCAAAATTATTATGAAACAAGATGGAGTGGAAGGTTAGCATTATTTGGACGTGAGTATACAAGTAAAAAGTGAAAATTTTATGTTTGAATCACTAAAAACAATTAATATGAAGTAAATATAGAGGCAGCCAAGACTATTATAGAAACTTGCTTTATCAGATATCAAGACTTATGAAGGAATTGAGATACATGTGGGGAGGTACCATAAAATAGACAAACAGAATAAAGGGTCAAAATAGAGTTCAGAAATAGGCTCACACATGTAAGAAGCTAGCATATGATAAAAAGAAATCTGATGTCAATGAGAAAAGATCATACTATAAACTAAGAAATGTTGGGACAACTGGTTAACCAATGGAAAAATAACTATAATCAGACCCCTTACTTACACCAAAGCTAGAATAAGAGTCAGATGAATTAAACAATTAAATGTTAAAAAGTAAAATTAGAAGATGTAGGAGAATCTCTTTAAAATACAATGTTAGAGAAAGCATTCTCAAGATTTTTAAAAAGCCAAAACTCAAATATTTATCAGCTTGATTACATGTAAACTATACTTTCATATAACAAAATGACCACAAACAATGTTAAGAGAAATAGATTGGGGGAAAAAAAAAACCTCAAGAACTACAGACACTATAGTAACAACTCCTACGTGAATCACTTCGAAAGAGGCAAACATAGTAGAAAAGTGTTAATTAGGCAATTCCAGAAGAGCAAATATAGATGGTCAATATTCATCAAAAGACAGTCAGCCTCCCTGGTAATCAAGGAAATGTACATTCAAAACCTGGTAAGATACAATCTTCCATTCATCAGATTGGCAAAAGTTTTTAATGTCTAAAATGATGAGGAGAGGCCAAGTATTCTCATTCTGGGAGTAGTATGAACAGGTAACAACTACTTGGGAAAAGAAATACAGCAGTATCTTTAAAACTAAAAATGGGCATACCTGTGACCCTAGCCCTTCTACTCAGTACCTATCCTAATTCACACAAGCTAAATGTCCATCAATAAGGTAAATCTGGTATGCATGTAGCAGTTGAAATAATGAGCTGAACTGAAATGTAGTGGTATACATCAATCTGGAAGGCTGTGTAACGTGTGTAACAATTTTTACCTCTGGAGAGGTTACCTTTAAAGTTGAAGTGGTGGTCAAGGGGGACTTCAGTCTTATTTGTATTAAAGATGTAAAACACGTCTCATTTTTGCCACCAACTGTCAACATCATCTTGAACAATTCATTTAATCCATCTTTCTCATCACCAGTGTGGAGACTATGTGCCATCACGGTTTACGGTGAAAAGTGGAGTTGCCAACCTGGCCTGAAGTAACAGTCTACTACCTTTCTAAGACTTTCTTGTCAATACATGACAGTAATTTCATTTCAATATGAAATGAAATATGTCCTTTTGTACATCTGAAATCACGTCTTTTTTTCCCCTCCCCCAGATATGGAGCAGTTTCAGCAGGAATGTTATGTGCCCTTACCACTCTGTCCCAGCAACTAGAGAATGAAAACGCTGTGGATGTTTTCCAGGTTGCAAAAATGATCAATCTTATGAGGCCTGGAGTATTCACAGACATTGTAAGTAGTTTGCTGATGTATAAAACATGTATAAAACATCACTTGAAACTCAAGACTCAGAGTTTAGAGCAGTAGTTCTCAACTGGGGGTGATTTTGGCCCCCGGGGACATTTGGCCATGTCTGGAGACTTTTTTGCTTGTCACAACTACAGATGGATGGCATCTAGAGGATACAGGCTAGAGATGCTGCTAAGCAAACTACAGAGCACAAGACAGCCCTCAACACCATACAATTATCCAGCCCAAAATGTCAGTAGAGCTCAGGTTGAGAAGCCCTGCTTTAGAGGACAGTATTCTCTGGTTATCTTGATGAACTATCAACATTGAGAATTGGTTCCAAGCTAACAGAGATCAAAAGGACATTAAGAAGGTATAGGTCTTGATTCTAATGGATTAAAATGATTTTTTAAAAGTTTCTTAGATAACATTTATGCTATTGCGGTTTCTCTAGTGCATTTTTCACATTTACCATTTTAGTTGGTATTTCCACCTTATATGAAATGACTAAGCTGTTCTTTGGCTCAAACTGTCTTCCTCTTGTTTTTCAGGAACAATACCAGTTCGTCTATAAAGCAATGCTCAGCTTGGTCAGCACTAAAGAAAATGGAAATGGTCCCATGACGGTGGACAAAAATGGTGCTGTTCTAATTGCAGATGAATCAGACCCTGCCGAGAGCATGGAGTCTCTAGTGTGACTGGAATCCTGAAAGGGCACTTAATTTGTAAACTTCTGAAGACTGAGAACTTTTTTGAGGCCTTTTTTGCCAGACTCTAGGTTATACAATAACCCAGTTACTTTTTTACACTGATGAAAGTTTTGATATTTATTTTTTGCCATTTTATGTCTTAATGGTATCCTACTGAGCATTTGCACCTCTGTTCATTTCACACAATGACATGCAATTTTACCTAGTTTGCACTATATGATCAGTGTTACTGCCTATAATCTTATACAACAGCAAACCTTTATGTGACATTCCATGACAACATACATGCTACTTTTTTTTAGTTCAATACAGTGAAGGTCTTTGTTATGATAGTGAATATTGATTTTATAATTATTAGTGCTAAAGCAATTGCATTCTCCTAGCAGGCAATGCTGTACTTTTCTTCAGTCCTCCTCTCCTATTTTTTTAGGCACTGTTCAATACTGTATGCCTTCTGTATTTTAATGGAGTGGATAGCATTGTTTTCTTTTACAGACTAGCAGGCTACCGGAAGCTAAAAAGGTCTATTAATGTCATGGCCTTGAAACAGTTCCACTTTTGATGGTTAAGAGATCCATTAAGAAGTTAGAAGGCTTAAGAACTGCTTCATGTGAACATCCCTTATTAGTTACAAAGTTATATTCACAGTTTTTAAAAAAATGTGTCAAAATAAAGGGTAACTATTAGAGCTTTCACAGTAGCTATGTGGACAACGTGTGTTATTTCCATTTTGACTCTAAAGTAGCTATATCCTAAAATCAGGGCTATCTTTGACAATAGTGAGATGGCAATATTAGATACAACTCAGTTGTGAGACCCTTTAGCTACTCTCCATTAATGCTTATTGGTTTATAATACCACACCTCACAGTAGGTAGAAGAATGAAAAGTTTTGCAGGTGTTTAATTTTGAAACTAGTCCTTTTAAATTTCCCTATTACTCATATAGCAATCTAATAAAAACTGCCTACACAGTTTCTGTTCTTTTCTTTCCTTCTTTGCCAAATATTTTATAATAAATCTCTTAATTATATAAATGATTCTACTTAACATTAAATTGGAAATACCGTATTAGCAAAAGTCTTCAGACTATTTGAATCCCACACATAGATAAATCTGATTTGGAGAGAGAAAATTAAAATATTTAATTACAGTTGATACCCATATTTGCAAGTTTTTAAAAGGGAGATGGCTTTGTATGCTTTTGTGTAGTTTAGTGTCAAGAACAGATACACATCAGTAAAAGATACCAATAATCATTAGAGCCCAAGGAAGTTATTTGGTGCAGCCTCTGTAGCCATATTCACCGTGCAGTACATAATGAGAAAATTAGGAGCATTAATAAGAAATTTCAGTAGTGTTTGTCAGAAAAATAAGCTACTTACTGAGATCTGTTTCTCCTATTGAACATTTGCTTTTGAGAGACAGCTTCTGTCAAAAGTGAAATCACCACCAGAACTGGACCTGTTGAGAAGAATAGGGTTTTGTTTATTTTTTTAAGTCAATTAACTTCAACACAAAGGCCACACTAGCTGCTATCCTGCCATCTGGGCAGGCATTAAACATTAATGATGATCAGCACTGAGGTTCTATTTATCTTGAGTTATCTTTCATAATGTTTGTCAGAATGGTGCTGGAGGACCAGAATGGCTAAGGAGAAAGAGGCTATGGGCTAAGTTAAAGAATTTGAATGCAAAGGCCAGGTCAGTGGAGTTTTCATGAACTGCGTAACTTAACAGGGTTAATCTCATCTTTTCAATACATAGATTCAACAACTTGGAATACTCTGCTTTTCAAGAGCTGTACAAGCTAGTGTTGAGAAAAGATGTTCAAGAGAAAATGCTCAGTTGCATGTGCTAAATGACAGACACCTTTACAGCCCCTCTGCTCCCACCAGAGGTAACACAGAAAGCTCTACCTAACACAGGTAAAGAGCTTGAACGCAGGACCATTACAACTGCCAGATGCTGAGGAGAATCAGGAAAGGAACAAGCTAGACTTTTTTTAGTCAATTTAGTAGGTTATTTTAGTTGTACAGGGTATTGATATGACTTAACTCTTTTCAATAGATGGCAAAGTGGGCTTGACATTCAAAAGTGATTTTCAAGTTAGGGTTCATGGTCCCTTTCTCAGTAATTTTTTCTTAATAAAAGTAAACATTGATTCAAAAACAAATAGCAAGTATTCCCTCCTGTGCTATTTATAGACTCAATTCTTAGAAAGGCATACCCTCCAATGCAATTCTGTGGCTATCTCTTACTGTGGTTTCAGAATCATGATAAAACAGCTAGTAAATAGAAACAATAAAAAAAATATAAGTTCCCTGTGAGCAATCTGTGTGTCTCCAGTGAGCTTGAACCAAAGTCTCCATAACCTGACCCACTGAATTATAAGCAATTGCTACTTGCCCATCTTGGCAAAGCGGTCCAAACACACTTCAGTGAGGACAGTTATATTTAGCAGGTCCTCACCCCTGTAACAGAGAGCATATCCTCACTATCATTATACATATGTTATTGGCAAATACATAGCTTGCATCTTTCCAGAGGCAGAGTTTCAAAGAGAGTTTTCTTTGAGACATAAGCACATTGCTTAAGTACATAACAAGATTATTAACACTTGCACTCAGGGGAAAGGAAACAGCTATTGCAAATTAATGTGTGCTACTTTATAAAATAAACTGTGTATATGAATTTAGCACTATGTAAACAAAATGCACACATCATATAAAAATGAATTGCAATGATTAGACCAAGTGGCTGTGCTGGACATCAAAGAAAAGACATGTTGTTGCCACCAGGAGAACTCTTTCTTACATCTGATAGCCAAGATACCTTCTTTAATATGAAAAAAGTTAGATTCTGATTTTCAAAAAGCATAACATTAGCTAATTGGTCTTCCTAATTTTTATGCCTTTAGAGCTGTTGGAGTCTATTTCAAGTAGAAGAGTCCAGCAAGGTCAAAGAAAGTTGATGGTGTTCAAGGTCTGGCTTGGAGTTTTTAGCCCAGAGTGACATATTGAAATCAGTAAATTATTTTAATTATCTTATAATGACACAGCACAACTGCCTTGTTACGAATTTTTCTTAAATGCATATATACTATATTTAAAATTAAAATATAGATACCAGTTTACCAAAGATACATATTACTAATTCTAAGCAAAAATTTTTTTAAAAACCCAAACTCATCATAATTTAAGAATAATCAAAATGTAGTTTGTCTTAAGAATTTAGCGGTTCTACTGGAAATGCATTTTCAACTCCTTTGTTCTAAAGTTTATGTTCAAATGGTGCCAGTGAATTTTTATATGAAGGGAAAATGCCTGCTTTTTTTTTTTTTTTACCAGCTGTAACTTCACTTAACCCTTCGTGCTTTCCCTTAGTTGCCATTTAACATACGATACTGGCTTTACTTATCTCTAGAAAGAAGGCATGCTACAAATAGGAAAGAATTGTAATAATGATATTTGGCCTCTACTTTGTCTTAGCTGTTAAACGGTTTTTAGTATTTTTGTTAAATATTTGCAAAGGGAAGCATTTTCTACAGAGGATAATTAATTTCAAGAAAAATATCTTGAGTTTTAAGAAATAAACATCTCCAGAAAAGGAGACAGTCGATTTTATAAAATGTCGCAACTCTCCAACATTTGGGGTAGTGACTCCTTTTTTGTTAGGACATTTGAAACTAGCAAGCAGCCATTGTTTCTAAAGAATTCTGCCTTCATGTTGACTCATGATTCTTTCACTTCATTTTGAAATAGCTAAAAATCATTAAAACTGTAAATATTTTGTTGCTTGGGTAAGCATCTTCTGGGAACTTTGTATCTATGGTATATAATCATAGAATTTTATATTTTCATATAAAGCTAATTTTTTTCTAGTTTCAACTCCGTCATAGTTTTTTTTTCCTTTTTGTGGTGGATATGTGAATTCAACTTTCTGTGTACTGAAGTAGCAAGAACCATCTTTGCATTCCAAAAGAATCCAACATGTGTTATTTCTTTGAGGCAGTGATTGTGAAAGTTGGGTTTTCTTTTTAATTCCATTGACCATTTGTGCAATAGGAATTAGACGTAGTCACCGAATACATTTGTCGAATTGACCCATTTGGAAAAAGTGTGCTTTTTTTTTTTTTTTTTTTTTTTCATTTGTTTGGGGGAGGGGTTTTGTAACCTGAAAATTTTCCCTTTTCCTTCTGTTTAAACTATATCAAATCATTCTATTATAGTGTTATTTAATATGTAAATTGTATTGCTATACATAAAATAAAGTATGGTTTTTGATGTATTCAGCAGTGTTGAGCATTTCTATGAAAATGTTTATATCCAATAAAATCAGGTTACCAGTCTCCCTTAACAGATCACATGAATAACCACCAACCCTCTAAGTTTTCATGTTAGTAAAATGAACATTGGTAGTCATCTTTAAACAGGCAGCAAACCAAAAAGAAGGGTCTTTGCTGGGTTGATTTATCAATGTTCTTTCTCCTTTAAAGAGTAAACAATGACAGTTTTATCTGCTTGTCTAAGAAATCAAACTTTATTCACTTTATGACTCTGCTGCTAAGTTGTAAACAGAATTACTATTTTCTCTAGTATATTAACTAGATTTGTAACAACTCTCTTAATATTTACTACGTAGGATAAAGGATATATCCTGGCAAGACTTCTGGAGAATCTATATGGGTAGGATCAGTACAATCGCTCCGACTTAACAAGGAATTTTGACATTTCCAAACAGGTATACAAGTACCAAACGTGGCAGTTTTCGTCTACCATTCTGTCTTGACTTTTAGTGACTCCACATCAGGTGTTCAACTCTTCCTACCCAGACCCCAGTTTTTCTTCCCATAGAGATAAGAGCTGATAGTTCACTCTTGCTAAGACATAAGGAATTTAAGAAAAAATATGTGAAGAGTATGTGGAAGAATGACGCTAGCACAAAAGAATGAATCTCTTAGGATATAATCCTAGTCTTCCTCAAACTATACCCATGGGGAAACTACAACCCTGTACCATAGGATTTACCAGAGGTTCACAAATTGATGGCTGGTAGATTGTGTTCAGTCCACAGATACATTGTATTTGATTCATAATTTTAAAATTTGTATTAGTTACCAATATTTAACAAATAAGGCCGGGCGCGGTGGCTCAAGCCTGTAATCCCAGCACTTTGGGAGGTCGAGGCGGGTGGATCACGAGGTCAAGAGATCGAGACCATCCTGGTCAACATGGTGAAACCCCGTCTCTACTAAAAATACAAAAAATTAGCTGGGTATGGTGGCACGTGCCTGTAATCCCAGCTACTCAGGAGGCTGAGGCGGGAGAACTGCCTGAACCCAGGAGGCAGAGGTTGCGGTGAGTCGAGATCATGCCATTGCACTCCAGCCTGGGTAACAAGAGCGAAACTCCATCTCTCTAAATAAATAAATAAATAAATAAATAAATAAATAAATAAAATAAAATAAAACTTTTGCATTTAGATTCAGGTTTCAAGCTCCTTTAAAAAATTTGGAGGCCGGGCGCGGTGGCTCAAGCCTGTAATCCCAGCACTTTGGGAGGCCGAGGCGGGTGGATCACGAGGTCGAGAGATCGAGACCATTCTGGTCAACATGGTGAAACCCCGTCTCTACTAAAAATACAAAAAATTAGCTGGGCATGGTGGCACGTGCCTGTAATCCCAGCTACTCAGGAGGCTGAGGCAGGAGAATTGCCTGAACCCAGGAGGCGGAGGTTGCGGTGAGCCGAGATCGCGCCATTGCACTCCAGCCTGGGTAACAAGCGCGAAACTCCGTCTCAAAAAAAAAAAAAAAAAAAAAAAAAAAAATTTGGGTGTTGGTGTAACAGGCTCACACTCTCCCATGGCAATAAAAAGGTGGAAATGAACAGTAGTTGTCCTATTTAGATGGAATATACGCTCTCCAGTTCACCAAACTCTACATTGCTCCCTATCACCTTAGGCCTAGCCATT